GGGGGGGTCTTCGACCTGAAAAATCAGGGGTTAGGATTTGCACCCGGTCGAAAGAAACCTTGCTATCGCAAGAGTAACTCCAGCTAGCTTCGCTAGCTTTCGTGATGAAAGTGAAAGTGACAGTAAGAGTAAATAAGCGCGCATGAGAATGAAGGTAGGTGTTAGTAAATGTGGATGAGAGCGAGAGTGTGTGCGATTGAGAGTGAAAGTGTGTGCGATTGAGAATGGGAGAATGAGTATGAGTGCATGCGAGTCTAAGTGAGAGTAAGTGTGGATGAGAGGAATGAAAGTAAGAATGAATGGGAGTAAGTAGTTAAAGAAAACACTGTATATATATGCATACAATATATATTATATATATTTAATATATATATTTATCGAAAATATATAATTATGATGCATCTTTTTTGATTGTAAATATTGAGGTTTTTCATTGTTGCATAATGATTCATGTATCTTGTGTCCTTGGAAAATTATTTGGTGGTATTGTCTTCAAGATTCGCTTAATTATTATTGTTGATTCCCGATTCATTACGATTATGAGATCATCAATGATTTTGACAATGTGGTCCACCAAAGCCGACGTGGCAAAGACATGCGCCGTTTTGCGCGTTGGGGGATACGGGCAAAAATTGAGAAGATTGAGAACCGTTTTCAAGGCACACCACGAAATTCAAAGGGAAATGGCGATACCATGCAGGCACCCTTGAAATCCGGGTGATTTTTGAACCACAAGCAGTGGTACTGAACTGTACCTGATATGGGCACTGTACCTGGTCTTCGTCCGACAAATCTTTGTAAAAAGCGAAGTCTCGTCTAGTTCTCCACTGCGATCTTCAAGGTACAGTGCGATCTTCGAGGTATCTGAGTCCGAGTCGGAAGGACTTAGCTTCTTGCTCGCTCTCAGAAAGCTCGACTCACAGTCTCCTTGGTGCGAGCCGACCCGAAAAAACTGCTCTGGAGATGTTTGACCATCCTCCATATGGATTAGAACAGCCAGGAGTGGACACATTGAAAGAATCGTCCATTTCCACCAAGCTGCCTTCCTTCTTGAAAGGCATTCCAGAGTCAAAACAGCTTTTGTTTGATGCGCGTCCTGGGGTTGTCGAACTCCTCGTACTGATTCCGGCCAGAATTTCGTTGCACAACAGCTGGTGTTGAAATTTGTGATTCACCACTGGCCCAATTCTTGGAGATCTGTTCTTCCTTTCCATGGGGCATGGGGGGGCCAGGACAACCAAGGATCCGGCACGGTGGTTTCGGTCTCCGAACCAGGTTGGGGGAGGAGGTCTTCGGCCGTGACCCGGTGAAAACAGAGATCGCCATGGCATGCGAGGTCGGCTTCCAAGCGCCATGGGGCCCTTGCGCCGTGTTTTTCCATGTTTTCCCGTTCCAACCATGGGGCCCTTCGATGGATGCTGAAACGACGAAAACCAGGTCAACCGAACTCTTTGAAGGATCGAATGGCAGGGATACGTCTTCAGGTTCTGACGAGATGTTCGGAAGAAGCAGGACACACCGATCGCGTCTCAAACACCCCGTCGTCAAGTCGTCAATGCATCTCTTCCACTCATTCGACCAACAAACTGAGAGGGCCAACAAGGACCTGAAGGAAAACTCAAACCCTTCGCTGGGAGGATCCCCGTTCTAAAACCCCAGCCATACAGCCGTTCTACTCGTTGGGCGCCGACTGCTACCCTCTCTGCGACTGCTTCTTCCCACCCGTCTCGCACCCACTCACGAGACAAATTGCATGCAACCAACTGACGATGTCTCTTCACGGTCGGCCCTGCAGAACCCTCCCACTTACTCAAAAGAGACATTGCGAGTTCCATCGGCGATTCATCCCAAATCAACATCCAGGGCTCTGAATTCAACATGTTCAAATACTCCTGCAGCCTGAGGCGTTGAGAATCTGGTCATCAAAACTTGGGCTTGTGGAGTTCGAGGGGCGATGTGTGCATAAACATCCCCCAAACTGCTCAGTCGAGTGGTCCGAGATCACGTCTGTCACCTCCAATTAGATCTTTCTTTTTCTCTGCCCAAGAGCTGCACCACCTACCCAACCCCAACCCGGTCTCGGGAATGTGTGGACTCGGACAACTTCAACCTGCCCGGCTTGAACAGTTCGCTGCTCCCGGTCATCGTAGATCATGGTGATTTTGAGCTGTGTGCAGCAGCGGCTGAAAAGCCATGTGTGTGTGTGTGTGTCTCCTTCCTGCTGTCCAGGGCTATGTGTTATGATGCTGATCTTCAGGCCACGGGCAGGGTGGAAACACCAAGTGCCCCGGCGCCAAACTGATGATGATGCAGGGACGCTGTGCAGATCACACGGTTCAAACTTACTGGAATGCGGTGCCTCTGGGGCCGGAGGTACCACCGAGTCTTAAACAGTATGAAGCACACACACAAGTAAACCAGCACAGTGTAGCTTGAAGTGCTCAAAGCAAAATTCTAACCTCGAGGCCTCCCTGTCCAACCCACTCCGGCACCGATTCGCCCGTCTGTTGCCGCGCAGCTGGGCGGGCTCCGTGTCCACAATCTCCGAGGGGTAGCGGCCGGGCGTGAGGGTCCAGCTGCCACGCGCGTTGTTGCTGACCGAGTCCTCGTCGGGCTCCTCGGAGCTTTCGATTCCACTCCAAAGGCCTGACGAGGGGCGAGTTCGGTTCAGATCAGTCACCCAAGGCCCAAGACCCAAGACCCAAGGCCCAAGACCCGATCTACACTCCCAAGAGCTCTGCAAATCTCTGAAAAGTCAAAATCTCTCACGTTTGCTCACGCCTCCCACACCTCTCCCCCGTTTGCTGGCGTTGGTTCTGAACCCGTGCCGTCTGACGCCTTCACCCATCTCGGCTTGCACCATCACCAATCTTGAGCTCAAGGTCGTCGACGCACCCGGCTCCAAACGGCTCATAATCTGCCCACGCATGGGTCGGCAATTGCTTGGGGGGAAGGATCCCCCGCCTGGTAAGAACTAGGGGCTATATTAATTATAGTGACCCCAAAATAGATAGAAACACAACGGTAATTTCCCTTGTAAAATGTATTGGAAATTGTTTCTATGCCTTTGGGGACCTCTATAAATACATATATATATGTATACTTGTATACATTTATATATATATAACTATTATATATTCCTCAAGAGTGACCCTTCAAATTGCTGCGGCCAAACCACGCCATTTGAGTGGCCCCCTGTACGTTGGCACATCGGTATGGTCTTGGTATGCCTTTTTCAAGTTGCGCATGGACCCTTTTTGTCATTGCTTGATGCAACAAATGCCAATTCTGTACCCCCAAACCCTGAAAAGGAAGATCGAGACGTGTCCTCGACGAAACCTCTCTGAACAATCAAGGGGCGAGTTGACAGGCACTGCGCCAATAGTAGCTGTATACGGGCATACTATGTGGCTAAAAAAACCTTTTCAAAAAAAATCCCAGACTCCGCAACAGCAACACATTGCTTGTGTTGTGTTCCAGGGGTGTGTGTGTGTATATATATATATATATGTATGAATATATATATATATATGTCTCTCCGTCTCTGTCTCTGTCTGTGGCTGTGTCTGTCTCTCCTCTGTCGCTCTGTCTTTTTTGTGCACGGTTCTACCTGCACTGACTGTCTCGCTGTCTCTCTGTCTCTCTGTCCGTCCGTCCGTTCGTCCGTCTGTCGGTCCGTCTGTCCGGCTGTCCGTCCGTCCGTCTGGCCGTCCGGATGTATGGATGGATGGATGGATGGATGTATGGATGGATGTGCTGTACGCCTCTGAATATTTATCATATAGGTTTAATGTACACATAGCCACCCCATACACGTGATACTGTAACATGCCCTGGGCCTATCTGTCTTGCAGAATCACCATAGTTTGCAGTGTTATATGAAAATATGCGGATTGTTTTCAAGCGTATGTTGGTCCAGGGAAAGGGCGCCCGAAATAAGCTTGCCACGAAATCGTGGTGAGAAATCCTCGGCACTACAAAGCCCCTAAAGACCTTCTAGAAAGTCAAATATGTTCCGATTCTTTTGAGCCTGTGCAAGAGACCGGCACATTTCCTGCATCTGACCTTTACGAACCTCCACGCAGCGCCCAAAAAGGTGAAGAGAGTCACAATCTAATGGGGACCTTCTAAGGTTAAGATGTGTCTGATGTGAGCCTGTGGAAGATCTCTGCACCTGTCCTCCATCTGAAGAAAACAAAACTGGCACAGGCTCAGACCATCAAACAGCTTCAATGGCTGACCTTCGCAAGACCTTGACAGGTTGAACAAAAAATGAAACATATGAGAACATTGGGTCTTGAGAGGTGCCCAAGGCCATGGTGAAACCCCTGGTTTTGTGAAGGTCGAGAAGCAATTTGGTATTGAGTTGCATTCATCGGGCAATTGGCCTTGCTTCAGGCCTTCCCTGTCAAATTAAAATGTCATCTCCGCCCTGATTTGCAGTCAACACGATGGGATTGCATGTCTTCTGCCTTCTGCTGCTGCTTCCTGTCTTTCAGAACCGACACCTTTGAAAACGTACGTCTGCCGGGGGTTATGTACAGTACGTAATTGCTTACGCGTGCTACGTGTGGTCAAAGGTGGCGCGGTCAATCGCCTGCGTGGCACGCACGGTCAAATCATCCGCGGACGCGGACCCAGGCATGAAGGGCAGAGCAATCTCCAAGAAGATCGCCTCAAAGGGGGCCCACAGCGAGTTCGACGGTGGAATGGCTCCGCGTTCGCAGGAAACGGCGGCGGGCGGGCGGCCTCCCCGGTTCTGGTTGAAGTTGGAAAATGATGGAAAACAGGTAAGATCTTCCAAGCCATGCTCCTCTTATACGATGGACCCAAGGCCAACGAAATTGGCGAACGTAGAAACTCAGAAGCTCCTTTCAGTAGATGCCGCAAAATGCATGTCAAGTTATATAATGGACACCAGCAAAATGCCTGGCGGGTTGGGGGGAACAGTCATATGGAGGATGGTTACCAGTGGTGCTTCCCTCGCCAAGGTTGTATGAAAAGTCTTCCCCACTTCAAAAGGCAGGAGCTGCAGGAGCTCTTCCATCAAGGAGGACGTGTCTTCACTTCAAGCCCTGGCGCATCCAAGATCACTCGATCCCTGACACACTTGGCAAATATTGGCAGCACGTCTCCTTACCCCGAAAGGGTGTACCCGAAAAGAACCGAAAAAAAAAAAAAAAAGCTTACATCACGGCAAAAACTAGGACCTTTCGCCTCCCCCACACATGAACCTGCCAAAACCGGCCCACTCCCCGACCAAATCAGAAAAACTACACGGCCCTCCACTTCCACTCCTTTGCAAGCGTGAGGTGCGTTCAACACGTGGGCGTAGGCGGAGCGGTCCAAGTGTTGCAGGCTGGGCTGGCCGATCAGCTGGCGGATGTTGAGCGGCGAAGGGATCTGGAAGTAGTCGTCTGAGATCACCGGCGCCACGAAGCAGTTCGCCATGAAACGCACCTCCCGGAGATGGGACACGACTGGGTCGTCCGGTTGGGGGAGGATGGCACAGTCCAACGGAGGGGTCTAAGGGTGGGGTGGGGTCTCGGATGCGGGTTTCCCGCCAAAGTGACACAGTGAGACTGACCATGAAACCCGATGTGTTGACCGAACTCATTACTGCCATCGGGGAATGATACTACTATCTTAGTTCTATGTTGATTTGGCCAACCCTTTTGTTTGCCAAAGAATGGTTCTTTGATGTTCTTCGGGCTCCAGTCCAGCCCGGGCCCGGCTTGGTTGGAAAAAGGTCGTCGTAGATTCAGGGAGGTTGAGCCTGCATCGAGACACCAGGAAGAATGGCAAGCAAATCATTGAATCAGATCGATTCAGAACAGGGTCTAGCCATAAATGCCACTATATTAATATGTTTCCCCGATGCGAGGCGCGCTGCCTTTCATTGCATGTCATTGATTGCCCTTGAATTCCTGTCATCGTGTGCCCCAGTCATGCAGTCTGCTAGATATCTTCCAGCGATATTTCATAAACGCACATGCCAAGTGGCACGCATTGACATTCACAAGTGGGGGCCAGAACTCCCATCACCTGTGGGCTCTTAAATCACCTGAAGAAGGAGGGAGAGCTCCCGGAAAAATTCCACTAACATCCCCCACAGATTGCTGCCAAACACCAAAGGCTCATAGTTTCAGTGCATTGCTGGTGGTTGGCTTTTGAGGTCCATGCAAGCTCCGACCATGGACGTCGGAGTCGTCACTGACGTGTGACGTGGAGCGAAAACCCCCTGCTTGGTATTCGGAACATGGACGTCCCTTCGGGGCCATGTTCCACTTCCATTGTTATTTCAGGGAGTGCACCCCTATAAGTCCAGTTAGACCCCGTAAAACCTGGGCCCTTTCCTCCTTGAGTGATGGTTTTTGGTACGACAAACTCAAGTGTTTCATGACGTCAGTTCCTGACCTCTAGGGTATCATGATGAAATGTTGAAGGACGTTGAAGTATGTTTCCACCTGGGAGCTCATCATCGCCTGCATGATCCACTGCGCCAGCTGCGGTGATGACAAACATCCACCGGTGCAGACCAAGATCACATGCATCTTGTCTTGGCCATGGCCTGCCAGAAACGCGACAGGACATGCGTTTGCAACGCAAAAAGCAAGAAGAACATAGAAAAGAAAGTGCTTGTCCCACGGATATGACCTATGTATGAATGCTATGTCAGCACCACAGAAAGGGTGGTTGGTGAAGGTCCCTCCAATAACCACCCTTTCCATGGTGCTGGATGGTGCTGGTGAAGGTGTGTGCGCGCGTTTCTCTAGGTGGGAGGCATCACAGTCCCAAACTCAATGCTTCCACAGGCGTTCGACAGCCCAAACTTGATGCTCCACTGACGCGTGGCAGGTGTGCTGAGCTGGGTTCGCTTGTTCATCGAAGAGCCCAGTTGGAGCTGGTTTCATGCGGGTTGCTCCAAAAAACATAGCAAGAACAAGCTAGTGGAATCAGCCTGCGACTGGTCTCAAGATCCATGGTTCCCGATCAAGGCACAAACTCGCCTGAAAACCAAAAAGAAGTCCAGGGGGGTTCCCTGTGACGATGTATGGTGCGGATATGCCCCAGACCAATAGTGGTGGAATGTGGTGGATGATGCTTGGGGACCAAACTGCCAAGAATTGTGGTGTTTAATTGCGTAATGGTTGAGAGAAGTTGTCGTCCCCTCATATGCTATGCTACTCTCGTAGCTAACATGTGGATGCCTAGTTAGTTGCCTCATGTATGTCTTTTGAAAAGGACAAGGCTGGAAAACTCCGACCCAACACGGAAGTGGATGGCACCCCCATCGTCGTTGTATTCGGTAGACAGGATATGGCAGCATGGTCGTCCACATCACCATGCGATGTATTCGTCCCAGTGTCGATCGATGACTCCACCGATGACTCCAAAGCGACGACCCTCGGATCGAGTTTTTCGTGGCCTGCATGGGGGAGGTGGTGAGAGGAGGAGGAGAGCACCACCGGCAGCGATTCCTGAAGAAAAAGGATCTGATGGACAAAAACCGTGCGAGCACGCGGTTTTCTGGGACTTCAAGCAGAGAAGCCAATAAAGGTGACGCCACTGATACAATTGGACCAAGAACCAAAATCACTAAAACATGCGAACACTTATTTGGTTGCATGGTCGGCCCCATGTCCCTCCGTGGTTAACTTTTAACAAAAAGAAGGAGCGGAAACATTGACGACCACAACACCTACAGTAGCAGTAGTAGTAGTAGTAGTAGTAGTAGCCTCAGAAGACTTATTCAGAATTGGGGGACCCACTGCCCGATCGGACTGAGCCTCTGCACGAAGCCTCTGCTCTTAGAGTTTGGTAGACCCAAGCAGGTCGGAAGAATGTAAGTGGAAATGTTGAAAAGGAAGCTTGCTCTTTTTCAGCTGTCCAATTTTGTCCTCTGGCCTGCTGGAGCATAGGGCATGCAAATGATGGCCTACAGTCTGGGTGGGGTGGCTCAACGAAGATGGCTCCCGCCTCCACAACCAAAAACATCGAGGACACTAGCCTAACAATAACAAGCCACAGCACCGCATCAACATCTTCAACAGCGATCTGCCAGCTGCTACATCAGGAACCTTCTTCTGAAAGGCCAATCATTGCTCAAGAAATCTTAATCTTTTGGGGCATCTTCCTTTCTAAGCGGCGTACCAGGTGTACCATCCCAAAACCCAGTAAGGACAAAAAAATCCTGATATTTGTGCCTGCAGTGTTCTGGCCGGCCATATTTCTTTATGTATACTCTTCGTTGCCCAACCCCTCTCCACAAGAACAACGAAAAGCAGCTGCAATGGCTCACAAATAGGGCACCGTCTGTACCGATCCAGCTTGGCATTGAGACGTTCTGAACCGAATCTCCTCGAATCCGTGGAGTGTTGTGTACGACGCAAACGTACGACGCAAACAGGCCAAACCGGCCCAGTGTCCCTTGAGCCCATGATCATCGGCGTGATCAGCTTCGCCAAAATGTATCCCGTAGAGATGGCCTCGGAGAGATGCTGCGTTTTGGCTCGGGGGAGCATGCCTTTAGATCTTTAGGGCGTTTGCTTTGCCACTGAGAAAGAATGTCCCAAACGCTCCAAACAGCCTCTGGTCCCTCAAAACCTTGGATTTGAGACCCCGGCCCCTAATTAGGAGGGTCCATGAGCGTGTGTGACATCTAGACCGAATGTCGGCTGAGGATGGTTGAGGTGTCTTTGGGCCTCCATGTTGACCGGATCAGCCAAGATATAGCAGTCCGTCTTCTCCGAGCTCACTGGAAGCTTCACCTCAGCCAAGCAAGTCTGTGGGCGTTTTCGTGGGGAACGGAACCGAAGCGAGGGCAACGAAACAAGTGTAAAATTATCAGGCTACTGGTTGCGGAACTGCAGGTTCCTGATCAGTGATGAAGTACTCGAGCAGGAATTGAACTTTCGCCCCAAGCGTGTGTGTGTGTGTGCGTGTGCGTATACATATATATATATATATATATCTCTGTGTGTGTGTGTGGTGATGGATTCTAATGGATGAGCAGGGAAAAACATTAACAACAAAGGATTGCTCCAAGACTCCGCTGGCTCCAAGACTGGTGGAATCAACCCGCCCACCAGCTTGATGAGCTGCGGAGGAGGGAAAAAAAGACGCCCTCCACCCCAACCTACCTGATCCCATGGTTGGGACTTCCAGAAGAATGGCCCCGAGCTGGAAGAAAGAGCTCCGGACTTCCCAATCGGCCCAGTTCACATAGGTGTTGGTCAACTGGTTGATGATGTAGTTCAAACCATCCCAAGAGAAGTCCTCGAACATCTGTCGAGTCAGGTGTCTATGTGGAAGGCTTTATACGCTTTATATTATTCTTAGTGTGACAGCTGTTTCTGTCAGGTGAGACTCCTTTGCAAATCTGAGGGGTGTTCAACAAACTCAACTGGGAATGCCGAACCCTGAGTCCTGAAGATGATAACCCTTCTTGCTTGTTCACTTTTGAGGAGAATCGCTGAAATGGCAGCGGAACCAAACAGCATTTAGACAGCTGAAAAACTGTGACGATGATGTGTATCTACAGTAAGTCGTAAGTCTTGCCATCCCCCAGGATCACGAGGGCAGCAACATGCAGGATCTTCTTCCATCTGTTCCATGCAAATCACTCCACCCAATTGTTTTCAATTCATGTTGACTCTGTCACAACTAGACCCAGAACCCATCCTTTGACGCGACCGAACACACTGCCCAGCCCTCCAGTCCTGGCTGACTGGAAGGGTCTTGACGGTGCTCAACCAGTGCAGGGTGTCTTTCACCTCCAACATGCCAAAGCCATAGCTGGCAAAGTCACCTGAGTGTTCGGAGGCAGATCGGAAGCGGGGGCGATCGACCAAGAACCAGATAACTGTCTTGCGAAGGGTGAGAATTCTTGAGGTGTGAGTGCTTGCGCAACAAATCAGTCAGGCTTCTCAAACATCCCTTGCTACCCATTCGCAGCAGGTAATTTTTTATAGAGGGTGCTAAAATGATCTAAAATGGTTGAAGTGGATGCGAATCCGAAATGTCTGACATAGACCCCCACATGGATCCCAAGCAAACCCCGTTGAAAGCGAGCACACAGGAGGCGTTTCTAGGTGAGCCGCCAATGTCCGGGATGAGTTTCTGATAACGTTGGATGAACTGCTCATCTGGAAGCTCAAAGCCTGGCCATGGTCGCCCGCTCGGGGCAAAAACACGGCCTTTTGTTCGATCAGGCAGGGCACGACTGAGTGTTACTACCTGCGGCAAAGGGTCAAACCAAAACAGGAAGAGGTGACGAAAGAAATGGGCTGTGCTAGAATCTGCTAGCCATTCCCTGCCAGTGCCCCAGCCAACCCGCCTGGGAAGCTCAACAGCACTGTGTCCACTTTCTCCAGCCTTGCCACCACCATCTCCCCCATGCACCACTTCCGTGTCAAGATCCGGCTGGAGCCCAACCTCAGAACGGGGCAGTCTCCAGCCCCAAAAGAGGCGCGGCCCAGGATGGTCCAGGAAATTGGGAAGTTCCCAGAATGTGTCTTTAAAGGAAGGGCCACGGAAGATTAAATAACAGCTTTAACGGTTTACACTTTAAACCAAAATAGCCCTACGCTGGCGAACCTACCCTGGATTCATCCGACTAGACTAGGCAACGGATGTCAAAGCCGGGCAGACGGCTCCTAATATTTCCTGAGTATTTCTACTGAGTATAGAGCCGAGAATGAACGACCTTGAGATCTTCAGGCACGAAGGTGGTCTCAGTCCATCTACGTGACCAGGAAGGATTGGTGATTGAACATGGACCCCTGACTCATGACTCTCCACCATTCAACGCCCTTGTAACTAACATACTAGTTCGACTCTTTTTCAGGCGTCCGTTCCGGTTCTTTTCGGTCATGTTCACTGAAAGTTTCAGCTGTGACGCAGTGGCCAGGCCCCCCACCCGAGGCCCAAACGAAGGACACCCGGACCGAAAAGGAACCCCTCCCTTGGCTCAAAAATCAACCCGCGCCACCAAGAAAAAACGGCACACCGGCACACCCACCACAGCACTTAACCCCAAAAATGCCACGTGCGCATTGAGGCGCGTGTCCCCTTTCCGAGCGGCACGACCAGGGTCTTCACGTCGTGGCTCACGTAGGCGAAGAGCTGAGTGAGGTCCGTGAGATTGTCCGAGTCCAAAAAGGCCGTGAAGGACGGGCCCCGGTGGAGCAACTCCTCGGCTTCGCGCGCGCGCGGACGTGGCGCGCGGGAACGTGGCGCGCGGCCAACGGGGCGCGCGGGGTTGGGCTGCGGGTCGGCGGGAAAGGCAGTGCTGGGTGCAGTTGAAAAGGGACCGGGGGACGACGAGAAGATGGGAGGGAAGCTGAGAAGAGAACATTGCTTTGTTGAAGATCTGGGTTAGGGATGTGTAGTCCGGATGGTTCCGGACTTCATGCCAGTTGGCCAGACTGAGTTTTCATTATTGCTGCCTTTTCTCCCTGTATGCTTGACATATTTATTGCCATTTCTCCTTCCATTTCTTGATCTAGGACTACGCCATCAATAGTCTGTCATCTGCATAATCCATTTTTGAACACATGATTTTTACCCGTGTTTTTCTTCAACCGCAACTCTGTTTCCTTATCTGGAATTACAAAACTTATCTGAATTAATGTCTTTTATCGGTTATTCTATTTGTGTATTCTTTATGGATCTTAAATGAAGGTTACAAGTAGAACAGTTCACCATCCAAACAGATCTACGCAAGTTGGTCTTGGTCGAAGGCCTTTCTTCATGTACTTCGTATGCATCGCTAGACAGTCTGGGCTAGACCGCTAGCAGCTAACTGCCGGGTTTACCCGGCAGAAGTTCGGACTCCCTCCTATCATCTCCTATCAAGTAATCCTTTTTCTCGAGTGGAGAAACTCCCGTTCCTCCGCCGCGGCCGCGACACTGGTTCTACAAGGCTCCATCTTCAGGAGCCGGGCCCAAGAGGCTGTGGAGGCCTTGTGGTGGCAAAGGAAGAAGTGAAATCCTCGGATTGCACGAGGCGACCGAGGGGTTTGGAACGATTTTCACCTGGAGGGATTTGGGTGAGACGGGAAGGAGGGTGGAGAAGAAGTCTGAATGCTGTAGCTGCTAGCGAAAACATCACTGAGGGAGAGGGTGCACAGTCTGTGGACGACGAGATGAAACAAGGTTTCTCCTGCCCTGCCTGCCTGCGAGAAATCTTCCGGAGAAGAATGATGAAGCAACGGCCAAAAAGAATCTTCAGCCCTCCCAGACAGGTTGCGGATGGCTTTGGTGAGGTCGGTGAGGTTTTTGGCGTGGTCAATCAGGTTTCCTATCGTTTTCACCGCCCTACCCAAAGGACGCCTCCGACCGTCCTGATCCGAGCGGATGATCATGGACGTGACCGAGCGGATGGTGGCTGAGAGCGGATGGTCCACTCTCAGGCATGCCCAAAAACCATCGAAACGTGAACAAAATCCTTTTCCACGAAAAAAAACACACTTCTTAGTTGTGAACTCCCAAAACAAATCGCCAATCCAGGCAATCCACAACCACACTTTAATCTGTTCCAATCTGCAATTCCAACCCGCCTGATAGCTTGAACGACGACACAAGGGGCAGCATCTCTGATAGAGGGGGTGGACCAATTATGACAACAGCCCAACCCATCAATCCACAATCCGTGGGATGGATTAAGGATAATTTCAGCTTCACCTGCACAGCAAATCTAGTGGGGCTGGTTGAATGACCGTCCAACACCCCCAAAAGAAATACGACACAATCACACTGATATGTCCCATGGTGGAAGTGCATATTGGTGCATTCCTTGGCCCTGGCATGCCCTGGCCAACTTTTTGGTGAGGAATTGCTCCAAACCCTTGATGCCTCTGGCATTTCAACAAGCATCGCAACAAGCATGCGTTTGTGGAACAGTTTAACTTGGTAGATAAAATCAGGTTTCTGGCAAACCCCCTCTTCCACTTCCATAATATTGCCTCAGAACGACCCGAATTGAGATCATCCCCGATCGACAAGCATCTCTTGTGAAGTTTGGACAGGATGTGGCGTGCAGCCGACTGGGCCGCCGCCCAGATGATGGTCACAATCATGCAGGCGGCACAAGCTGTGCAAATGATCATTGTCACCTGGTTGGAGGCCCAAGGGAGGCCGAGGCCATCAGCTTTTCGCACGATACTGCGAGCATTTTTACCGAAGCTGTGCAAGCAAATGTGCAATCCATTTGTAGATACCTCCCCAGGAGGCTCATGAAGGAAAGGAAGTGAGAGATGTGGATGGCTTTGCCTTGGAAAAGGAGCGCTTTACAAACTTTGGGTCCTTTTGACAGGTGACAGTTTCTCTCTCTCTCTCTCTCTCTTTCCTACCCAAAGTTTTACCATCCATTTACATCCATTTACCAAGTTATATAAATGCCACGAGTGTTCGACCCAGTGCGCTTCTGACCGGATCAAACAGAAACGCCTCTTCGATAACAGGAAGCACATGGACACAAACAACAATGCCCCTTTGGGAATAGAGGGGTCGGTTTGGTACCATATTCTCCTATATTGGTTGTACACATGCGGGCATCCCCTCTACTATATAATCAACCAACCAAAAGTGAAAAGGCCGACTATGTACACAGCTTCAGTTTCTGCACAGCTTAGGGTTGAGGTCAATGGTCAATGCTTGGTTTGTTGGAAAGGCGGTCGGGCTACGGGCAAACCGGTTTGTTTCCTTTGCAGGAGGTTCCCCACAAAGGAAAGCCCGGCAGTTTGCCACACCTCTGCCAGTCGTCCCTCCAACGAGCGAGGGCCGACCCTCATCACAGCCCGAAAAGGACCAACGCGCACAACGCGCACAACGCGCACAACGGCCCCGCCAGTTCCAAGGCCTCATAAGGGGAGGTGTTCGGGGTAGTGTGCAGGCAGATACCATGATTCTGGCCCATCTAAGCACTGCATGAAAACAGCGAACAAGTTTGCTGTCACCTTACCTGCTCCTGCACATCCGTCACGGCAAGCGCGCCCATCTGCAAGATCAACAGCAAAGCCATATGCACCACCATATCCACCTGAAGCGTCCAACTCTGCTGAGCTCACTGAAGCATGATCGAACATCTCAACAAGTACCGTCTCCAGCGAAGCACCGAAAATGCGAAGAACGACATGAAGGAACGACTCCTTGACGGAACCAATCAATGGAAGACTTACCGTAAAGCATGACGATGCGCGTTCAGACTGTGCATGCCCCAAACGAAATTATAGGACCGGATAACCCCACATGTTCCCCTCAACAACTTCACCAGACACAGGAGCGGACAACTGGTGGCTGGCAATTGCTTGGTGGCAGTTGGTTGGCGGCAATTGGTTGGTGACAATTGGTTGGTGACAGTTGGTTGCTGACAATTGGTTGGTGACAGTTGGCTGGTAGCAAGTGGTAGGTGACAATTGGTTGATGACAATTGGTTGGTGACAATTGGTTGGTAGCAATTGGTGGGTGACAATTGCTTGGTAGCAATTGGTTGCTGACAATTGGTGGGTGGCAATTGGTTGGTGACAATTGGTTGGTTGCAATTGGTTGGTGAGGAGCGAGGAGGAGGGCGGAGGAAGGAGCGGATACCACACTAAAAACAAAAACCCCACGCATCAGTGTGGGGAAAAAGGGCACATCCTCAAAACCACCACAGCATGATCTTCAAGGTCTTTCGTCCTCGGCCGCCTGCCTGGGTGCCTAGCACCGATCGCCAGGGCTTGCAGTAGGCGACGCTCCCGAAGCTCACCACCAGCCTCGGCTCTTGCGCAGCGTGGCCTGGTGGAGAGCCGGATCCGTGGCTCGGTTGCCCGCTTAAAAGCGAAGAGAAGGGTCCGGTGGGAGCGAAGGGTTCGGGAAGTGACCAGATCTGTGGGTCATCTGGGGTGATAATTGCTCATCTTCTTTGGGAGATCAGTGATGATCACGCAAGATTCATCTCAAATAGATCGAACATGGCATGTCCTGCGACACTTGCCACAGTCGCTGATGGGCGTCCCATTTGATCCGAGAGGCGCCTTACAGGATCCTCTTGCTGGCAATCCTTGCCGGATCTCTTCCCTCAACAAGTGTCTAAGTCTAAACGGAAAGATGGCCTCATCCTGCCCCATGACCCGCCAAGCGACAAGAAGGCCATGAGAAAAAGACTTCCTGAGAAGGAGCGGTTCTCGGTGAAGCCTAGCAGCCCTATTGATTCACGATGTCTGGGAAACAGTGGCGAAAACCACCCGAGAGCCCCGAAAACCACGGCGGTCTCCGAAGACAAATCCTGAACACCTAGGGCCTGGGCCGGCGGCCTAGGGTGGTTTTTGGGGGGGGGCCTTCTGGGGGTGACACACAAAAAAAAGGCTTAGCCCACCAGGCGGCCAGAGGCGGAAGGCAACAAGGGCGCCATCACAATGAGCACGTTCCGCAGCAGGAAGAGCACCGTGAAAATCTCCTGAACATGGAGGGGGTGTGGCCGGCCGTTTCGGAGCACAGAAGGATGGCACAGAAGGTCGGATAGAAAAACCATCACGTTTGACCCGAGCTGTGGGACCGAAAGTCTCTTGTGGCTGTCGATCAGCGGTTCTACAGGACCTTCGACCGGAGGTGTCCGGCGTGAACGGTGCGCGGCCTGCCCGGGGTTGAAGCGCATCACCAGGAAGGAGCAGGCACCTCGGGCCGGAGTCCAACGCGGCGGCCTGGGTGGGTTTGGGAGCTCCCACCATGCCGGAAGGAAGGACTCCCCAAAGCAGCTCTCCATGAAATTCAATACATCTGTAACGGGGAAGAGCTGGGAAGAGGTGCCACCAAAGAACCTCTTTGATCGTTTGATGCACACCTGGGATGCATCCACCATAGATACCAACAGAAAACACGATTTGCACTATGCGCCTGCAGTGATGCGGGACCTTTGTGCGTCAACACTTTGACTTGCTATCCAAATCTATCTAGACCACCCAAACAAGGACCTATGCCTAAGAATGTCCAAACGCACTACTAAGAGAGGAATTCTTACTCAAACACCACCATTGCTACCTGTACCCGAGTCTAGTTCTTCGCCTCTCCAACCTCCCTCTATTCCTCTCGGTCACGGACAAAATGGACGTCCGCAGCCACCATGCGCTTGGGGAGCTCGATAAGGATGACCCAAATGCTGATGGCCAAATAGCTCCTTGCAGAGCGCCATCCGGTTTAAGTAGGCCTCTACGGTGTCAACCCTACTGGCAGGTTGAAACATAGCTTTGAGGAACACACATTCTTTAAATAAACAAACCCGCAAAAGGACCAGGAAGCTCCATGGCCCCATGGCTTGCAAAAGCTCACAACTGAAGTCGTACGTGCCGAGCACCATGGGATGAGGCCAAAATCCTCGCGATGGTCGTTCCTGTAGCCTTTCAATGAAACATCAAGAAACACATCACCGCACCAGTGCAACGCATCAACCACCCTGGGGCCTCAAGGGCTCAATGAGTGGAATATCCCATTCGCTGAAGCAATTCTACGGTGTTCAGTTCGCCCATTGCAGTGTTCCGTTCAGCCCACCGTCCCCTTTCTCGCCCCTGGTGCAATGGAGGATCAGCGGCAGCAGGCAAACCACACCGCCGATGAGGCATAAGCTGAGGTGAGATCCAGAGAAGTCGCAAAGCACCTCAGTAGGTCAGTGGGTCTCTGCACAGATCCCACTCCGCGAAGATGAGGCTCCGCTGGGGGTGTTGGTGAGTTCTTTCAAAGCTCCATGAGCTTGCGAAGTTTGAGGAGCTTTGAAACTTAGAAGGAAGTCCTTCCATGCGAAGCTTCAAATACCTGACCCTCAACCCGCTGATTGCATCAAGGGCAAAATCAGAGGTGATCGAATCTCCCCAGGGGGTACTGGCAAAAGAGACCACTGCAAGCTGAAGAAGTTGTCAAAGGCGCGCTGTGCGAGTCTTGCAGGGTTCTCAAGCCATTCGGATGCAGGTTGCAGCGGAAAGGCTTCAAGAAGGAGGAGCATAAGGTGATGAAGAAGATCAATGAGAATAGGCCTTGGTTTGAGAACCGGCTTCTCTCTCACACCTCCCAGCCACTCACAAAACATCTAGAAAAAGGAAGCCAGCTTGGCCTGGTCCAGTATTCTTTGTTTCTGCCCGTACATTGATGCAGCAATCGAAGGTCATCCAACATAACTCCCCAAGCGCTCCAACCCCCGCGACTGACGCACTCAAAGAACACATTTTGGATGACCCCTTGTCTCACAGGGTCACTGGGACGATCTGGATCAGATCAAACATCCGGCAGACGGCACGAGGGGCAGTGGAAATCCACACCCGCAGCCAAAGTTTGGAGGCATTCAAACAGGATTGGTCCAACTTTGTTGTCCCAAAATGGCCAGATTTCAACCGTCCACTCCACAATGTCCACAGTTCCGAACCTGCTCCACGGCAGTTCGGCGGACGTCCGGCGCACCCATGGATGGGCGGTCGACTTGTTCTCCAAGCAGCCCAAGGTCTTCCAAAGCAAAGAGAGTTTGAGATCCCTACCTCCTTAGTGCAGGATGTGGCATGCAATTCAATGGGACCAATTTGTCCACACGTGCCTCCTCCCGCTCACACCCGAACAAAAGTGCACTTTAGTAACAAGCTGGCTTTTCATGGCTTTTCCAACTATGGAACGGCGCTGTCCCTGTCAAATCTGGGCATGGACAACAAGTTCCCTAAGCAGCATCAGGAAAGCAATGACTACACTCTGTCTTCATGGACAAGTTCTCCGGCATGCCCAGGAAAGAAAATCCTCGTGTGCATTGGCACCAGTGGCCCCACAGGTCGGATGCAATTCTTGGGAGATCACTGCCGGGTCTCTTTGTGCTCCGGGTCACAGATCTGTTGCTCTGCGCTAGCAGGCGCCTGCAGTCGAGCTTCGACCTGCCTTCCACATGATGTAGACCACGTTGACGTGAGCCAAAATGGGACCCACGAGGAAGAAGAAGGGCAGCAGTAAGGATCGGATCCTGACGACGAAACGTCCAACAGTCTGAGCGTCGTCGTCGCCAAACACCAGTGGCCCGGTGGCCATGGTGCTCAGCCCAACGGAGTGGACTTCATGGGAGCGTCGGTGAGTGGGGACGTCACGTGATTAAAGCAGCAAGCCAATGCAGGTGGGCAAAGGATCCAGTCACTGCTAGCTAACCGATGGTTCCACGATTAGATTCGAGAAGTTAGAGGCCCGGGTTTCCTTGTAGTGGGATTCAGGGATCCACGGGGGGGGTGCAACAAGCTCTGCGGAAGCGTGCTTCCCAGTTGAGTTCGATCCGACAAGCGATCAACAAAACAATCACTTGCAAGTTGCAAGCATATCACTCGCAAACCTGCAAGTCAATGAAGGTTTCTTTCCCACCCAACAGGTGGAAGGTAGCTAGATTTTAAAGGACACATGACATATATGACATATAACCCATCCTATTGCGACCTCTGCTGGACGGCATCAGCCAGTGCCTGGCCAGTGGCCCTGGCCGAGAAATACCAGAACAAACAACAAACTGTGACACTGACAACACACAATGCGGGGGACGGTGGCATCTATTCTCCAAGAGTACTTCAGCCCCACCCACCGGGAGCTCCAGCGCTCTCACTCCATCCACGACGCGGCGTTCGAGTACTCGTTCTCGCGTTCCGAGCGTCAGGTACTCGAGCTCGGGCGTGACGCGGGTGACGCAGCCCAGCACGTTGATGGAGCTCAGGAGCGCATCCAGGGAGATGACGTCGAAGATGTCCAACAACACTTGGAAAGGTTCCTTAGGAGTTTTGTTGGGTTGAGTGAAAATTCCCCAAGAAACGGTGAACCAACAATTCCCAAAGTCAGGTCGTTGATTCTGTTCAAGATTCCATTTTTAAGGGGATCCAAAAAATATCACATGCACTTGGATCACAAAAGAAGATGTTAACTTGGAAAGGTTCCTAAGAAGTTGGGGCGTGCTTTTCAAACCAACTAAGTGCTCAAAAGCCCGTCCAATTCCACCAAAGAGTTGGGAAGATGGGACTCACTGAGAAGGGGGTTCCCCGTGACAGCTTCATGCTCACCAAACCCTCCAAGGCGAGTCAAGTCCATGCCAGGCGATGTTTTCCCCTAAAACCCATTCCTTGAGACCAACTCTCCCTGAACATAAAAAAAAAACGGTGGATGCTATGGACGTTCGTGGCAGGGAAAATCGTACCTCAGTTCCCCAAACCGGCTGGATATTGCACTCCTAAGAATAATCATGGAAGTGGATGGCACCCCCTCCCCCTGTTTGGCATTCGGATTTCATGGTCTTCCTTTCGTGGCCATGACATCCACGTAAAATGGTCACGACCGGGAAGGGGGTATCTCCTCTATTCATCAATCAGATCAAGGCAGATCAATAGCAAAAGGCAAACATAGTCGGTCCGGTCTTCTCTCAGCGTCAGCCCAGTTGATCTGCAACTGCTGCATGATCCCAAAGAGCTGAGCACAAGTCACCAATTGGCCTGGGACATTCTTCGGCCAACAGCGACCGGCTCCCCAAAACTGACAGAGGCGTTGGGGAAGCCATCGACATGGGTGGTGACCCCTAGTGGTTGTTCGTGGACAAATAGAGTGCTTGGGAGTGCCCAGAGTCCTTGAGGGTGGAGACTTTCTTTGTTAATGTGAGGTTCGTAAATAGTACAACCATCATAAGTGTGTTGGAGAATAAATCTGTGGACCTAGAGAAAATATCCAACAAGCCTGGCCCTAAGCTTCGCTTGACTGCTGCAAAATGTCATGTTTCAATGATCTCCAATGAGAGGGTATATATATAATTAAAGTAGACCTAAGGTACCATGCTCCCTGTACTTTCAGCAGAACCTAGAGCTACCCAGGAAGGAAGGGTACTGAAAACCTGTTCCTTCCAACCGTCCCTTTTTGCACCATGCTTCTTGGACTTCTAAGCTAGAAGCATGTGGGGCCGGAGGCAAAAAGAAGATTGTAAAGCAAAAGTGTTCATCTCCGATTCATCCGTTATAAACATATTACAGTATCCATTTGAGCGGCACCTACAAGCTTGATGAAGGGACCCCCAAAAAGAAAGAAAAAACACCCTGAACACAGGGCCGCCCCCTCACAGTGGTTTCAGAGTAAATGGCACAACCACGGACCCCAATCTAAAAGACATTTTGGTGGTTGTGCAATGAAACCACAGTTTAAAAAAAATGAAATCCGGTCAACACCCTCGATCTCCACCACTCGATGTCCAGCTCCACCCGAAGCCAAGCTGCCAATGCTCAACGCGGCCGTAAAGAGCGCGCTGCGCTGGTTGCCGTTGGATTGATCCGAGATCACCTGAGGTCTCGTCCCTTCGTGGTGACGGACGTCTCTTCGGTGCACGTCTCGAACTCTCCTCTTTGCCACTTGGCACCGTCGAAATTCAGAATCAGACTCTCCGGAGGTGAGGTGATTCGATCTGGGTCCATCAGGTGTTGAGACGAGACTTCGACTCACTCGCTCAAACATGGTCCTGCTTCAATGGGAGTTCGCTGGCGGTTCGATCATGTCGAGCCACCTTTTTGGACCTTTCGGGACATTTCTGGGCCAGGCGTCTCGTGCTGGAAGCGATATCTGCATCGGTGGTGCTCTTCTGGGGGGAGCACTCCACTCGAAGAAACTCGCTAAATGGCAAGGCTGGGCACTGTCGTCTTATAGCATATTAGTATTTGTCTTGGCGATTCACTTCCCTTCAATGACCGTGGGAAGGACTGCCCTCAGTAGGACACAGCACCAACCACATCGACGGCCAATGCCAAGTCACCAGCAGAACATGCAAACCACCGGTGCTGATGATCACCATACTGCCAAAAACCACGAGCAAAAGGTAATCTCCACCGGTACAAGCTTGGCACTCGCCACCCTTGGGCTGCAGCTGGTCCAAGCACTGGCTACCTTGCATGCGCAGCGTGGGCGCGCCAGCGTGCACACCGGAAGGCAAGACTTCTAAGAAACATCGAGAAAAGCTTGTGAGTGGGACGTTTGCTGCCTCCAATTCCAAGTCGCCCGAACCTCACTGAATCACGAGGCCAACGATGTGAGTCATGTCTCAGAATCTCGGCATGACATGACAACCCGAGAAGGGCTTGACATGACATTCGCTTGTGGGACTGGGGATTGGTGAGGAGTGGAAGCGAGTCATAAACAGAGTTGAGCCACAACTCCTTGATGTCTCACCAAGTTTGGGCGAACGCAAACCGGCTCACATGCTTTCAGGCCCACAAGCGATTTTACCTTGTGGCTTTTCAACTATATCAAAAATGAGCTGAACATCCAACCTTACTCCGAAATCTCCTCACTGCGATTGAGCCACACCCAATGCTCGTTGGGTCCCGACCAGCTGCACAGATGCCCGGCGGGCCACCGGGGCAGCGCTCCGGTTGTCCGAAGCATTTGTAGACCATGCCGGGCTCCTCCTGGAAGCCACTGAGAGTTTTCTTCGCGGTGGAGGGGGTTTGCTGAGATCAGGGCCAGCTGGGGATCTTCAATGACCGATTCTTTTCTGATCCGACCAGCTCCCGTGGAGGCTGGTTCTTTTTTCTTCAGGTAAAATAACTGGTGAACAAACCTCAGCCACATGTCTTCTGGATCGAACGCAAACCCCCACAGCTTCGACCCACTTCCTAACTTTCAGGGTGGTGAAGCTGCATTTTCCTCTCCAACAGATCGAAGCAGTTGCTTGAACTGGTTGTTGGGAGCCCTGCCCTTGTGAGTCGCAGATTTCTGGAGATGTCGCAAGAGCGCAGCTCTCTGGTACCTGCAGAAATCCTGACACAATGGTCTTGGTAACTTCTTGTGATGCCATTCTCAAAGTGCCACAGTTTCCCTGGCTGAGTTCAATTCCTTCACCACCGCCACCTTCCAAACTCGTTTGCAAACTCCGATGTGCCGCTGGACCAGGGTGATTTTCTCGCTATCTGGGCATCTGGGTGTGCACTTTTAATAGGGAGACCTGCTGGCCCTGGCGGGGTAGACTGGTCTGTGTCCCTTCTTCCAGAGGTTCGAGCTGGGAAGTCTCCCTATTTCAACACACACTTACACCCCTATCTAAAGTTTCATCACCAATCAGCTTCCCCATCCCTAGCAGCCCATCCGGGCCCATCTGGATTTGGGTCCAAAACTGGCCGCCCTGCTCAGGGTATACTTCCTTCAATTGCACCAACACAAAACCCCAGTGGAGGCTGCTGATGACCTCTGCAGCCGTTCTCGTCCGAATCAATCCTCAAGGGCCGGTTTTCTACACTGCTCGGGCCTGATAAGCAAAAAAGCCCGGCAGGAGCTCCAACGCGTTCGAGCCCGCACAGCGCGAGCCTTCCTGCAAGACATTGACCAATGAGTCAAAAGAGCGTGACTGACTGTACTGATGATCTGACCAAAGGCTGTACGTACAGAAGAACAGAGCCAGAAACAGTACAAACTCCGAAAACAATCGACCTGCTCGTTTGTGGGAAGAAAATACACCACCTTTCCATACCGTCTCGTTTGTAAGACCGTACTCGACACGCTCTTAACTATTCTTAGTGCCTTCCGAAAGCTCATGGCACTTTTCCCACGCTTCAGATTGAACTCCCAGTCCTGCATGGCCGCCGTGTAGGATAAAAAACACCACCACGACGACGCTGTTAGCAATGAGGACAGCAACAACGGGACTAAGAACACACAAAGCAATGATTGTTCGTTGTTTCATGTCGACATGGTGGGGGCACCCGTATACGACCCACAGAAGAGAGCAGAAAACAGCGGCGCGGCGTCTCTCTTTAGGTCCCAGCGTCGATGCAAACTTTGCACTGGTTGCGGTGCAAGAAGTATCCCTCTGCACAATGGCAGTCGTTTTCCTTGGATTTGAGAGCAAATGGCAGCCCAAGGTAAAATGGTTGAGTCCCCATGTACTCATCACCAAACATGGAAAGTGAACCGCATCGCTCCATGCTCCATGGAAGACGGCCTCTTTTTTCGAAAAACGGTGTTTTCATGTGTTTTCCATCAAATGATGTGACTGGAAAGGGTCAACCAAAGCTTGTGCCATCCACTCAACGATGACCCATCTGATATTGTGCTACAGAAGCCACATGAGTCACGCAAAATGGACATTCGACGTAAAAAATGACCCATCAAGAAGCAGATCCCGAAGGATTGCTCTTAAATCATGTGTCAGCAGTACAAACAAGATAAAGCAAAAAAGAAAACATGAAGACAAAACTAAACAAAACTCAACGAGTTCCTCGCAAAACAGTTGTCTTCACTCGCCAGGCCTCAGATGTGGCGCCTTCCAGTTGAAGCCAGGTGCTCTGACCTCTGACAAGCAAGGAGCGACTCGTGGTCCACCTAAACAAACGGCCAGGAGTCGGAGCCGGACGAGGTCCCTTGGTTCTTCCTCGTTCGGGACCTAAAACCAATTGGTCATTCCCCTTAGGATTTCAAACTTGAACCTGGGTGGACCATTCTCTAACTAGAAAAAACGTGGCATTCACTTTTGTCTAGTATATAAATGGTTATGGCCAGGTAAAAATGCTGTCTAGAAAATGGTAGGCATTCTAGAAAGCAAAACCTTATCTCCATGATGTGTTGCCTTTGTAGGGAATGGTCTTGTACAGGTCCCCAGTGTGCGTTAAATCAGACAAGTGTAAAACCAAAAATGCATTTTCTAGAGGCGCCAGGGAGAGGGATTTTCGAACAAGATTCATCGATGGCCGAACGTTACGTAAAATAACCATTTCCTAGAGATTGTCAGTTATCAATGAAAATGATGCAACATATCAAGCTGCTACTGTTCTGCCAAACGTCTAGAAAGTGCTCTTGTACTCTTGTACCTATTTTCATATCCCATTACATATTTTCAAGCACAAGGATGTCCTCTAGGAATTGGTAAGGTATGGTAAAGCAAATGATTGCATCATCCATTAAAGAAGCTGTTTTATAGAAAACGGTAGGGCTCTAGCAATATATGACTAGAAAATGGCCTCTCCTCGTCTGGTCTCCTAAAATGGTTGAATTATAGCACTGCTTGGGTTAGCTAGCCTCTTGATCATCCAACTTGGTGGATAGGTCCTAGTCTCTACAACTGCTGTCACCAGCGGTATGAAAGTTTGTTCGACTTCATGATTCAAATGCCCAAAAGCTCGGACTCTGTCCCCAAACAAGTGCCAAAGATCGGAATTTCATGGTAACTGCCTCCCTTGTCTTTGTTATTTCTATGGTGTCCGAACCTTCAGCGTCCGGGCTTGCTTGAAGGGTGTGTTCTTGAAGCATCACCTCAATTGCAGAATACCTTGCTGCATGTTGCTGCATGCACCAAGAAACACATCTACAATCAATCCTTGGAATTATCATGGTGACTAGTAACAAGAAGCTACTAGGGGCTCCTGGCCTTACTGCTAAGAGCAAGGACGCTACTAGGGTCTCCTGGCATCGCTACTATGAACAAGAGGACGCTACGAACGAAACAAGGGCCAGGAGCCCCTAGTAGCGTCCTTGCTCCTAGTAGTAAGGCCAGGAGCCCCGTTCGTAGCGTTTATGTGGATGGCATGGCCCCCGAAAGGTCTCCAACCAAACCGGTGGCTTTCATTCGATTCCAGGGAGTGTACACCATCGTCCGGACGATGATCCTCGATTGTGGGCACAAAGCCACGTGCACAAAGCCTTGGCTAGAACATTCATCGCTCCAGGCTTGCGACTTGAGGAGTCTTACGGTAAGACTTAAGAAGTCTTACTCCTCATGAAGCCTTTGGGTGGGGATCAGCTTCTGGCGGCTTGATCCAGTGCTGATGAATGCTTGAGCCTTTCAACCCACGGCCCCGTCAGAAAGCTCGCAACCACGTGGTCACGGCTTCACCGTGGTCGCGGAAGGTCGCGGATCCCTCCAGTGGACGATTTGTGTTTCAGAGTAGGTGGCACAGAGCCCAAGATGTGTTTTGGATGGGGGTCCATATAAACCACCGACATTGGGGTCTGGGCCATCTACTCTCAATCCTCTGTATGAAAATGTGCTTTTGCCCAAGCCACATGGTGTCATTGCCACACTGATCACAAGCGGTCATGCCACTCCTCGATGTAGAGGAGATGGGTCGATGTCCAGGACTGAGGGAGGAACATCGAATGAAGGAAACCCTCGACCTTACCAAAAGAAGGTGGCCTACCACTGTGCGATTGCTGCCATCTTGCAACGTCCAAGATACCACTCATGACATGTCCAAAACCGGGCGACCCCAAAATGACCCAACGTTCCCCAAGCACAGAAATCAAGTCGCAGCATTCCCGTGACATCTGCACAGAAATCAAGCGACCACGTTTTGGCTCGGCAAACGGGTCACAAAGAGGTGTTGTGGATGGTAGGTAAATGCGCTCTGATTGAAGAAACACAAAGGTTGACAAAGGGGGCACTCCGTGGCACCTTTGCAGGGTTTGTATATAGAGATTTGCAGTGGACATGGCAGCATCAAATCACCTGCTGTATCGCAACCAGGTGCCTCACCAACTCGCTTCGTAACAAAAAGGAAGAACCTGAGAACAGCAGCAGGCAAGAAAACACATTTTGTTGACATGAAGACGATGAAAGTGAACTGGTGAATTTTTACCCACCTGACCAAGTCAATGGGAACGGAAACATCGCAAATCATCACCCCTGCTGTGAAATCTTCTTTGTGCACTCCTGTGGGTCATGATGTTCAACACGGATGTGGACAACATTGAACCACGCGATCAAAACTATCAGTCCTGTTTGGAAAATGCAGCCCGACTCTTTGATCGGAAAATTTATTGGCTACCACCATGCATAGTGACAACTTCTGAGCCACTGGCTGTCACAGTTGCTAGGATAAACCGACCTGGCCCCCTAAAAAACATTGGCGACATGGAAAGTTACCCAGCCTTGTATGCACAACCCAACCCGCCAAGCAAGAATCCCCAAGAGTTGGGCATGAATTGTCCTATTCGGCAATGGTAGCAAGGCAAGTTCACTAGCAGGCGTTGTGTTTCTGCTTGCTATGTTGCGTTAAACCGCACTACAGAAGCATTACAACGTGGCCCCACAAATGCGCAAGTCTGCGCAAGCATGACAGCGCTGCAGCAAGCAAGACCGCTCCTGAGATTATCGGTGCAAGAGAGCATGACCCGGTGTCAGCGTTCCACTGTGATAAGTGGAACGCATGTTAGCGTGGCCCGTGTTGTTCGTGTGCCAGCATGACAACATGTGAGCACAACAGCCGGCGTGATAGCCAGCATAAAGAACATGAGTGGCAACACGCCATCGTGACGTGCCTGCTGGCATGCCAACGTCAGTATGACAGCATGCTGGCACGGCACGTATGACAGAGCTGCAGGATGGCTCAATGCCGACGTGGCAGCGCACATGCGCTGCGAGCGTGGCTGCCTAATGGAATTACAAAAAAACATGCCAGCATGACATAGTAACTTTTCAGCACTACACCATGACAATGTCAGGATCTCAGCACTTCAGCACATCTGCAAAGCTGCTCAAATATTGCTTGCTGCGAAACTTGCACAGGGAACTGGTTCGCAAGCTCGGGACCTTCCTCCAAAACCTCACGTGCCCTGGAACCTGCTGTGCTCCCCAACCTGCTCCGGAACTTGCTCCGGAACCTGCTCCGGAACTTGCTCCGGAACTTGCTCCAGAACCTGCTCCAGAACTTACTGCGGGACCTGCTCCGATCTACTTGGAGGCCTTTCCTATGAGCTCCACGGCTGGTAAAAAAACACATAGTCCAATTAAGAACCCCTCACGGCAAAGCTGTTTTGGAGAAAAACACCCACAATTCCACCAATCCCTCGCCTTTCTTCCCAAGACTCGAATTCGCATAGCTTCCCAGGTCGCATTTCGCACAGGTCACCGCACCAGCGAACAAGGCCACCGTCCCGGGCTCGCAAAGGGCACAGGAGGCCTGGCCCGAGGAATCTTGATGACTTCCTGCAGGACATGGGACCTCAGGTGATACAGAAGAGGCAGGCAGGGTCGGAGTATGCGAAGGTGTGACGAACAGTCGCATGGATTGGAGTCATTGGACAAGTGACGGGATTGGAGGGTGGCTTCGAACTTTGGCCGGTTGGGCACTGATGTGCCTGGATCGCTCACCTGGAAGAACCCCGGCCCCCGTGCTCGTTCCTGAGGACGCCGAAAACGCTTCACCAGGCGGCACAGCGATAGGTTTCGCCGAAGTCATCCACCAGCGCCTCCGAGAACATCCCCGGGCCACACAGCGCACAGCCGGTGGCCACTGCCCGCAGGGCCACGTGCTCGTTCCGCGCGTCCGCCAGACCGAAGCCTGGTGTCCAAAGCCCGTTCAGGGCCCATCAACTCGGTAGAAGTGAAGAATTCGACCAGGTCACTTGGACCACCTGTGTTTCGGGTCTCAGAACTTTCTGCGACTTTTTTGATGGGTCCGGCAACCTTTTGGTGCGGCCGGCATTGTTTCGTTCACTCTTCGCTTCCACGTTCTGCTGACTAAAGGATCCTCTTCACCCCTGAACATCCTGAACACCTTCCCATCTTCCGACGGTCGGGGTCTCCAACTTGCCCCTCCTGCGATGCAGTTGGTGTCCACCGGGACCCATTTGGCCCACCGCTCGCGGTTGGCCAGGACCCACTCACAGGCTACGTCATACATCGACCTGCGCCGAGAAAGCGTCGAGCTGATGGAAATGCAGGGATGCCATCAACGTGCAGCATGGAACCAATATGGAACTCAAAAGCCCCCAAATGGAGGAAAGATTCATCCGAAAGCTAAGTGGGAAGGTTTGGAAGAGGTTGGAGAGTGGCAAAACCCCACTGAGCCAGTGAGAGACCGTCCTCAACCCTCAACCGGTTGGCGGCTGTTTGTGTGCGTGCAGTAGAGAGAGAGAGAGAGAGAGAGAGATGCACATGTACCACAATATTCTACAATGGTATTATAAATCATATCTTGAACTGTATCCTTAGAACTTGGGGTTCTCCCATTGAACTTGGTGTCATGCATCGCCAGATACGCCGATCCCCCAAGGAGTCGGACCCCCCACCCCCTCACAGATCCGCTTCACACGCATGGCTTCACAACGGATCTCTCTTCCGTGGCATTGGTGAATCAACACTCATGGGGCACCACTGCAAAGGTGTGGTGATCCCTTGCAGTGCTGATCCATCAGAACTCCCTTCAAACCGTGGCCCATCGTGCCTGCCGTTGGCCGCCTCTGACAGCAGCTGCGTCATATCGCCCAACTCCAACCTCGTCCAATTGGAGGGCGACCCGTCTGTCAGGAGTGTTGGACCAACATCTTCTCGTCTGGTGGTTGGCCCTTCCAGGCCCAACATGGGTAGCTGAACATGGCAGACATCACACCTTTGCAGGAACAAGAAGCTACGAACGGGGCTCCTGGCCTTACTAGGAGCGTTCGGACGCTACTAGGATCTCTTCACAGCGTCCCGGGCGGTGCACCCAGTTGTTCCGTCTCGGGCGGGGCCAGATGAAGGTGAAGGAAGTGCGGCCACCCCTTCAGTGTCTTCAGCAGATATTGAAGGTGTCTCCAGAGGCACCCGTTGGCAAGGCGCGCCGACCAAGCTCATCGTGATGACCGCGCTTTCAGGGGAGAAGGAAGTAAATCCCATACTTGGATCGCTTAGTCTGCGGGGATTTAGAACACCATAAATTTCCCGTAGCCATACGTGGTTACATGCAGACTCACCAGTGAGTCACTGGAGCGGAGAGCATACAGCCATATACAACCCTAAGCCGTATCGACATTCCCTGGAATCATCGTTAGGTGGAGAACGCCCCGCAAGGATGACGTTTCGCCGAATACCAACCAGGTGGTTTTCACTGAGCCACTGGCCTGGGCAGTCTCTTGTGGTTTCGACGAGAAAAAAAAGCGCGTTCAGGATCTCCGAGCCACTTGAAATTTTGCAGGAACTGCCGCACCGAGGGTGCAGCGGTGCGCAAGATGGGGCTCACCAGTTTGGTGATGTAGTTCCTTGGGATTGGTCAGCTTTGGGCATCCGGACGTTCGAACAGGGAAGATTGGTCAGGTCATGGACTCGAAAATGAACATCCTCTACGTTCCAAGCGGGCCACGCTGTTTGAAGAAAAGGTATCTATGGCCCAATGGAAACTCACAAGGGCAAAGAAAAAGAACGGCAAAAGGACAAAAGGAGCATTGACCACATACATCAAAACTACTTGGCCATTCATCCACTGCACTCCTTCTACGAAATCTTTAAAATAATCAAAACAGAATCTGCTGAGCACTGGCCGGGCTTCTGGTTCCCCGCAGTGCGAAGGTTCCCCTGGCTCCGTGTTCGTGAGAAAAAGGGGCTTTTTGACCTTCAGGTGATCCTAATCCATGATGTCCAACCTTGGGAGTAGAGGGGGCGATGCCAGGTAACTAATTTTTCCTATATATGTCATACACCATCTAATGTACCTATTGGTTCTTCACGACCAATAGGACATCCCCCCTATTGATCAATTAAGCAGGAGCAGCTAAGGCCATCAATCTATCCTGACTCCTAAGACCTACCCTAGGATTCAAACAACCAGCTCAACCGTTCTTTTAATGGTCTTTTGAAGGCTAGGGACCTACCTTGCCAACAACAAAAGAATCAAATACCAGAAGAACCTGGGCCGCACGAACTGGCTTTGGGGATGTTTGGAGCTCGGTGTTCTTTCGCCCAGGACGAGCACAGAGACTCATGGATCTCTGGAGGCAGAGATAAGGCTCCCAAAACCCACTGTTTGGGCATTTCTCGATGATGGCACACACACCCTTTCCGCGCACCAGTTTGGTGCGCTTTTCACCCGGTCTGAATGCCATCCTCATCCTCCCTGTCCTGTGCCCACTCGGAAGGGCTGTGAGGTGGAAGCACAATGTACGAGGGATCCAATGGCAGGAAGGTCGCATCCTCAGCTCTGGGCCGCTTCGCGAGTCACCCCGACGGGTGGAACCGGCGCACCGGTGAACAAATGGGAAACCGAGTGTCGGTGCGCCTGGTTTCGGAATGCCAGCTGGTGATGTTTGCTGTTGAACGGCACTTGAACACAGTGAATTGGCAGCTGGCAAACCTGCCAAAACGTGGAAAAACATACACGCGCAGGTTGAAAGACACATATCATCACACATGTATTGGGATCGAAAATCGTAAACAGTTCAGCATAGATTAACATCACATCCTGGTTCCGGCAGAAAACAGTTGAGGTCGCCTGTGGTGCCCCCTGGCGATTAGAGTCTGTCCACACATTCACTAGCATCATGATCTTGCTACAGCAACTTCACAATATAAATCAATATAGTATAATTATTACAAATTATTGTAATGCATATGCATACAGTAGTGTATGTGTCTGCTTGACCCTGGTTGTTTCGATACTGGGGCTCAATACAAAAAAATCCAACAAAAGTATATGCTTGGCTTCGCTCGAAAGAAAAAATGCTCCATGAAATCCTATCGACTGGAGGAAAAAAGTCACACATTCGATCCAGGCAACGGGCATCCACCAGTAGAAGAGCGCCTTGGTCGACCACACAGTCGCCACAAAGGTGCCCCAGTCCTTTGCGATGCCAATGGCCACAGGGAAACCATAGGCCGCGGACCTGCAAAGGAGTGGCAGGTCAAGAAAAGCGAAGTTAAGGGACCAGAAACGGGTTAGGCAACGAGCGCAAAAAATAAGAGTTCGTTTCTGTTAATCTATCTGGCGATCACTATAGGATGAGTTGTTTTGTTTGCCAGAATTGGTCGGGTGAAAAGTAATGATGGTGGGTCATGCTCCCAGAAAAAGAATCACACTGGGCTTAACCTGAGATGGCGCTTGCCTGCTTCCAGGATTCCTGAAATATACGTATATATATATATATATATATCTGTGTGCGCCCTTGGTAGGACAAACCTGCAGATCCATAAGCCCACCATGAAACGCTTCGGAGTCGGCTGCGGGATAGGAGTCACTTCGGAACGTCGGAATTCCGCCAGGGTACCACTGCATCATGGCATCGACGATCCAACCATTCCCCGCCGCCAGCAGTGGGATGCACGTGGAGCTGTTTTGCCGACAAGAGGGCGACAGCCAAAAATAGTCGTCCGCGCATCGAGCGACATATTGCCTGCGTGGTTTTTCGTGTCCAGTGTTTCGACAACGAGGCCATCCTGTGGCCTAGACCCGCTTGGACATACAACAGGTTGGTGCGGGTGAGTAACACAGTGGCAGATACGAAGAAGCCATCCATGTGGCAACCACAGTTAGAATACTTTAGGCAACTTTAGGGGTCTCACGACGTTTCCACACCTGGCATGGAACGAACCCCGCATTTCTGTGCAATAAGCTCTGACTGATTCGGCCACGCCTCCTGAATTATATGTACAGTACTAAACTCTGAGTTTCCAATTCAGGCAGAGGGTTGAACTCTTGATGAAGCGCTTCCAACTTTGGTGGACCAGTTCTTGCCCAATTTCTCCCATCTGTTCCTAAAGTTCCTGCCATTCCGGCTCCCGACCACAGATCAAGTACCATGCATTGACATGCAACCGTACACCGTGTTCAGTAGATTTAAGCACGACGAGCCACGCATGTTCACAACAACCATCCACCATACCATGTCAGCTCCCGTCATCGATCCCCTTTGTCGTTGGTGAGCCCATAGCCAAGAACGGCCCCCTCCCCCGAAAAGTAACAAAACAAGAAGTAATCGAACATTCAAGTCGAACCTACTACTATCGAAAATTCATGAAGAATCACATGGGTTCCCTACATGCAGGATCTCAAAGAAAAGGAAAGACCTCAAACGTTGCCGTGCTAAGAACACTCACCCGCACCCCGTAAAAAAGCCAGGTGTTCTTTTGGCAGAAAAACTCCAAGTGGCCCAGGGCCAAGCTCGATGACGCCATCCAAATCTCCAGTCCAACGGACATAATCCCTCATCCTCAAAGCATTCCTGAGGGTCAATCTGAGTCAATCAGAGTGAGCTTCAGCTTCCGAGTGAATCGGTTTTTTTCCACAAAGGAAGGCCCAGCGAGAAAGGCTTGAAGATGTTGAAATGTACACAGCAAGAGGCCTCGATCTGACCGGACTTGACCGGGTTTGAGGGCTGCCAAGAGGCCTCTCGAGGCCTGGAGTAGATCGAATATGACATGATGAGGCTTTCATTAAACATCACCCCATTTCAGGTATCCAGGTATTCCGCCACCCATGTCTAAACAACTGCCATGTTGCATTTGTCTTGCCATATGCGTGCATATGCCACCTGTCACCTTTCTTTTCTCTCTAAAATCGGTCTCTTTCGATGCCACTTCAGGGTCGCTCGGCTCGTTTCACGGCTGAGGCTCCGAAACTCTAGGCCCTCGAGGTCGCATCGAAAGAAATGTCTCCGATCAAAGCTTTCGAGCCTGGTAGCTGGAGTTTTGGAGAGGCTGCGGTTTTGCGAAGGGGGCTGACCCTGGGGTGGGGCTGAGGACTTTGGTGGTGGGGGCAGGGATAAGGATGATAAAAAACACATAAACAAATTGACCAAAAAGGCATCCAACCTTGAAGGCGTGTCAGGTGGCTGCGCCAAAGACGCGCCAAAAGCACCCCTGGATACTATGCACGGTTAGTGGCGGGACGGTCTTGATAGGTCGTCACCCATAGGCCGCTTCCAAAACCAGCTGGATATGACATTCCAGTGGAGTGATCATGGATCTGGAAAACCCTGTGTTTGGCATTCGGAAAATGGTGTTCCTTTCGGGCCATGCCATCCATTCCCTGAAATGAAAATAAAAACCACCTGCTTGTAGAGGAAAAAGGTCATCCAAACGACCATGCAATTCACGTCCATGATAATTCCAGGGAGCGCGTACCCCGCGCATGCTGATGTGGCCATTGACTATGCTAATAGCTGCTAACCGCCTCTGAAACCCCCAAGCACGGCACAAGTGATGGTCACTCACTCCGAAAAAGTGCCGTAGCCAGCTCCACAGCCCCCCCATCACGCAAAATCCGTAGACCAGTGCCATTGATGAACATTTGCTATGTTGATATGGCTTATATAAGGCCTTATCAGGCCCCATCAGGCCGCAAATCCATGGGCGGGGGCGGAGGTGGCCAAAACTCAACGGCATCGCCGACATGACATATGATGGATGTTGAACATTGTTCCTTGGTTAATGTAGACTCTTGATTAATAACCCCCGTCCATAGGAAGAAGAGGTTTTTCAATCCAAATGGGGTAGGCATTGTGGCTCAGGCCTTCACGCCGGCATGTCTGTCACTTCCCTTTTGGGGAGTGCGAACTGAGCCATGACACTATGACTATCCACGTCGGTATGCCCCAGCCATGAGATGATCATAGCAGAGACCAACCTTGGAATGTGTTCGACTCACTTAGTGATGACATCCGCCAAGTTTCCAGAAGTCTGTCAAGAGATGAGCAAGACATGTTTCCTCGAGGAAGACGAGACATTCTTCTATGTTTGGGAGTTCTTGGAGCCAAGATGGTGTAGTCGCTGTGATGGTATCTTGTCTTGGAGTTCCTTTTTGCTTTGTCGAGTTGTTAGGCTTGGAAATAGACCCACTCGACTTTCAAAGGGTCTACGGAGGTCCCCAACTGGGGCCTTTACCGAAAATTGCGCTCTGAAAGTCGTGCTTGATGGCGAATTTGTTTGAAAACTCTTTTGGTGACTTATGTGACCACAAGGCACGTACATATCGACATCGGCCGGAGCCAACGACTCGTCATTTTGATATTTCATATCTCGTCATAGCGAAAAGCGCAGTGGCGAGTTGTCATGAGTTGATGATCCTGCCTTCTGGTCTTTTTCCTCTTTTTCCTTCGCTGCATACGACCCAGTCGCTGCGCGACGCTGAGGTGTACAGACTTTCTCTTTGTAAGCTTCCCATAGTGGGCGTCTGGCAGCAGTTCATTTAGTCTTGCAGGGTAGGATCTCACTTAGACATCTCAAGACCGGATCCAATTCAGTGCGTCCACACCGTGGAGCCTTTTGCAATTGCCATTGTCCCACAGTGTGCATGCCAAACCCACCTGTACCCGTCACATTAGGTGACAAGGGGCGGTTGTGGGCGTGCGTCGAACCGCAAGTCCGTGCATCCAAATGCGGTGGGCTTATTAATCAAGAGTCTTAAGTTTCAGCCCCTGAATGGGTTGGGACCCCGCTCGGAGATGCTCCAGCCTGTCGAAGTACTTCTGGGGGAAGTGAAAGGTGGTGTTGTAGCCTCAAGATGTGGACGAGTCCAAGCTCCCATCCAGGACAAAGCGATTTTGGGGCAAATTGGACCCCAAAATCAGAGACCTTGGGAAAGTGGAACGTTTGCCGCAACAAACCTTGCAAACCACCGGTGCATCATCATTTGGCGCATGGAGATGGGACGTGGGGTCAGCGACGGGTGCACCAAGGCTGCGCAGAACATCGAGGTCCAAAAGCGTCCGATGTTCTGGTGCGGCCGCCCTGGTGCTAGACACGCCTTCCGTTCGACCCTTCAAAGAGCGGTTGACCTGGGGGTTTTGTGGTAAAATCCTTAGTGAAACGTTGTTCGGTCAAGGCGTTTTTTTCTCAAGGGTGGTTCGAATCCTAGGGCCCTTCCTTGTTTCACTTCTCTAGCATTTGGGAATTTGGGTGTGCGATTGAATACGGAGACCCCGTGGCCCTGGCTGGGTAGACTGGTCTATTCACCGAACCTCCAGAGGTCGAACTGGGAGGTCTCCCTATTTTCATACACACCCGCATTTCTATGGATGAAAAGGGCTCACTTGTGGCAGCTGCGGCCTCCAAGGGCCTTGATCTGGAGTGGGGGGTAGCTCAAATCCCAGGGTGAAGTGCTTTCCCCCTCCTTTCAGTGATGAGCTCGTTCCTGTTCCGGTCTAGTATGAAGCTTCCACGCGATCTTGAAAGGGGTGGCTCTCAGAATGGATGAATGCCTCGGCCAAGGGGTCACCAATAGTTTTGGAGCACTGTTGACGGGATCAATGATCAGGCAACATGAAAGGATGTCAATACTATATTGATAATTGTGGTGGTTCTTGACTGAAGACATGAAGCAACCTAGTCATAGAGCAAAACTGGAAGTAGCGATGTAGAACCTCAAGACAATTGGTATAATTATACAGTAGGTGTATTCAACTTAAATAACTGTTCAACGGCAGTCGAGGCGGTAGAGTGTTGACCGTTGACCCTTGAAGGAAGAGCCAAGGACAAGTAAGTGGTCCTGAAAACGGTGAATTGAGCACCCTGGACCCTGATCGAAGGAATGTGCTGCGAAAACCATCTGATAAAGGACCTCTGGTCAAACCTTGCGGCTGCCAAGCACCATGCAGTGGTCCTCATCCCATGGGAATCCCCGAAGTCTTTCCATGGAAAGGACCATGGGAGTAGGAATCCCTTCACACACCCAAACATGCGGTCCAGCTGTGGCGCCTGCCAAGCACCATGCAGTTAGATCATGACTAAAGCTGATCTCATCGATGCGGTTCACCAGGTGGCGAGGCTTCGAGTCCACCAATTTGGGTCCGGGGAACTCTTGTAGAAGTCGAGCGCAAGGCCGGCATCGGAGTAGGCCTGGTCCCGGATGGATCCTTTCACAAAGAGGTAGTGATCACCGTTGTATCCTGGCCGGTCGATGGTGCAATCGATGGTGTATCGGGGCGAGCTCCAAAAGAAACTCGGAGGAAGTGTGGAAGTCCAAGGACCCGAGGATCCAGTTCCCCTGTCTTTGGGTTGCACTCTGACTCACCGGAATGGACATGAATGGACCATTTTGGTCCCTTGGAAAGGTAACTTTCCTTTGCAAACAAAGGGGGTTGTCCACGGAGTGTAGCGCGTGTGACTCGTGGCTTGAGTGACTCATGGGCAAACAGCTCCATCGAAGACGCCCCAGGCCCTCCAGGCCTAAAAAGTTTGAAAGTCTTCTCAATAGCGGCCAAAGCTTTAGAGGCTGCAACGAGACCCAAGCTATTAGAGGCTACTGAACAATATCAGGAACGATGAAGCTCTCAGCCACAAAGCCACTTGAACATCCCACCAGTCACCAATGACCACTGGTGGCCGAACCCATGGAGCTGAGCTCAGCCGAGAAGCCCATCGAGCCAAGATCTTCCGGCGCTCGAGCCGCATGGTTCTCCTCAAACTCCTGCGGCGGCCCGATCTGCTGCGGCATCACCCATCGGGTCGATATATGGGTGATTTTCGCCGATACACATCCACTGGTACACCTTCTGCTGATACTTTTGGATGCCGAACTCAGCTTTCACGAGTCGGGGTTTCAAAAGGCCGTAGTCACGAGCGAAACCATCTAACTCAACCTCGACGGAGCCGTAGTCGAGAAAAGCCTGCGATTCAAGGCCGAAGACTGAGGAAGACTTGCCACGGCCGAAGAAGAAAAAAGAAAACCAACAGAGGCTTTTTGTGACCGTCAATAGGACCCTGAACCAGGGTACCTATGGGATAGTCGAACTAGGGTTCTTCAACCTCTGTTGGGATACTTGGTCGGCGTTCACGTCTTGAACATGTCTTTTTTTATTCAAGCAAACCGGTGATGAGGAATTCCAGTCAGCCGGAACTTTAAAAAAAAGAACGAAGCGACCGAAGCGTCGACGTCCGTGTCTTCCCCCGTGCGCGTTCCGTAAAAAGGCGAAGACGCAGGGCAAGGCACCGATTTGTTCGACAAACGTGAGTATTCTGACAGGTGCTATGTTCGCTAGGTGGAGAGGAAAAGAAGAAACAAACTGCATGAATCTACAGAAAAAAGGCTCCGTAGTTTCTCAGGTTGGCACGTGTACATGCAACGTCGCATCTTGCATGTTGTGTACATAAAAGCATGAACGCGTAGCATACTATATGCATGTGCATGAGTACAAAACATCTGACATCGGTGGAATCAGATGTGTGTGTGTGTGTGCATCTATAACGATATAGGTATATGTTTTAAAAATGTGTATGTGTGTGTGTGTGTGTGCGTGTGTAGTGTAGTGTCATCCCAACACCCCTGAACAATCAATCCTGACAACAGTGGAAGGTCAATGTATGTGTCATGGATGTGTGGCATTATGTGGTATATACACCAACACCTTCCAAGATCTAGAAACACGTGGGGTCTCGAAAACCTTCGGAAAAGGGCCGCCTTTCTCTAGGGCCTGGGGTTTGGTTTGCTCCTGTACTCCTTCCTGACCCGTCACCTGGCACCGGGAGAGGTGGTCACCTGTCCTGAAAGAGTGTGATGGCTTCCGCTAGCCAGGTCTCCAACGCCACGTGTTGCGGGCGCATGGTGACCGAACAGTTCGCACTGCTACAGCCAGCGAGCTTTAGAACGCCTTCAAAAATGCTCACCGTGGCCTGGGAGGCTGGAGGCTGAAGATAGTCGAATGTGCCACGTGGTTCATCAAAACCCCCAAGATGGAGACGCAAAACCCTTCTGCGAGGGGGGTTGTTAGTCAACAGTCTACGTTGAGGTCCTAAAACAATCCGTTTCCAATTCTTTCTGCACCGTCGCCTGAAACGCTGGCTGCAGATCACTGTCACCCAGTTCAAGAACAGGGTGCCACCCAACCCATGGGGGTGACTGGGCTACCAACACTAGTGAAACCATCTCTGGCTTGAGGGGAAAACATCGACAACATGTTGGTAACATATAAGGATTTTACAATCATATACATGCCATATATTCACGTGTTCAACAGTTCCCGAGCTCATTCCTTTTGCACCATACGTGCCCGTTGAAGATGTTAGGCCAGCAAGTCGCCATCATTGTGCCCAAAATCAAGACCCGAGACCGGTCAGACCCGCAACCAAATTTGTGGGATCAGTGTTTGCTGTTGCGAGGGTAGATGTTTTGTCATGTTTTGACACATCTTCTGCCATACTTATTTACCCCTCTTCGGGGGCTTGCCTCCATCTAAGCATCCAGCAGAAGCCCATCAACTGAATGGATTGAATGCACCTCCTGTCCAACAAACATGGAAGTGGATAGCCTGGATAGCATGGCCCCTAGGAAGCCCATGTTCTCCACTCCAGCACATGGCCCCCCATAACCGGCCTGAGTATCCTTCACGACGTGGTATCCCAACACTTCTGGGATCAAAATCTCTGCGAGCATGGTCGCCGCATCTGCGGAGGCCCAGTCATACTGGATCAAAGAGATCGGGTTCTCCTCCCCTGCACGTTCGTGACAGGCGCCAAATGGTGAGTTTGCTTTTTTTGTGGTGGGGCCACCGTGTTGCAACAGGTGAATGTCATGGAGGAAGAAGAAGAAGAAGAAGCAGGAGGAGGAGGAGGACAGAAAAAAAGTCAAGATTCCTCTTCTGGCACTCTTCGTGACATGGGACAGCATGGTCATTGCGAAGATGAAGTGGAAAGCCTAACGGAGCCTTTTATACTTAAACAATATCTATAAATACCACTCACTGGGACATCCTACCAGGAAGAGAATTTGTCTGCTGGTTTGGTGAAGGCCTTTCCGAAAACTAGTATATACTAGAGACAAATAATCCTTTATTTACCGACTATTGCTGGCTTTACTGGGACACACCCTGCCAATGACCCTCTTCCCACATCTCACATCTGCCAACATGAAAGTACAAGTATACTAGGGTTACTAGGGCTTGCTAGAGGTATCCGTCAACGGTCGGTGCTTAGGCATTGCGGGTGCAAAGAACCACCCCTGGCGGCCGGTTTCAGGCCTTACGTGGTCTTCAGGTTTCTGCCCACATTTCTGACGCTTGGTGCAATGCCAGGATATGAAACTGCATGGAACTGGTGGTCACATCTAAGTCACCTAAGTGCCTGCTGTCTTTCTTTTCGGAAGCTTGAATCCGAAGCGCTGAAGCAATTGCCATGGCCGAAAACACGCCATCGCCATTCCCTGCAACATCTGGGCGCATAGTTTAACAGGGAGATCCCCAACCAATGGGTTTTTGGCCTTTGCAGTTTCATGCAGTCGACGACATGCAGTGACAACCCCCAGCTAAGCGTGAGGTCGGCACAATGGTTGTGGTCTATTGTCCTTCCAGGAGGTCCTTGTTTTCGGTCTTCCCGTTGCACACCCATCCGCCGTCCGCCTTTAAGACACATTCTGCCCCATGCAATGGTTGAATTCCCACGCCATTCCATACAAGAAATTTCATGACGATCCGAATGGCCCTCGTCCTCACGTTGCACTTCACTTCCTTCCCTGTCCCTGGGGCTTCATCTGAGTGAGCCCATCATCAACCACGACCAACCTGACAAAACTGGACTGTCCATTGTGACCTATTTTCTGAAGAGCCTCTCCAGGAGAACCACAAATCTCTATCTTTTGCTCCATACCGCCCGAATGCCCCGCTCTCCCACACTCAACGCCCCCAACGCCCCGACTCCGACTCAGGCGGAAACCCCAAACCGCCTGCCGAGTCCTTGAGGTACAAACGCTTCGACTCCGCGAGGCCATCACGGAGGCAAAGACTTCGGACGGATGGCGCCAGGCCCACCGAGATCGCGAGCGCTAGGTGCCATGTCGCCATCGGCGAGGGCGGGTTTGGGGGCAGATGGCACAGAGACAGGTGGTCGACAGGTGGAATGCGAATGGAAGGTCGAGAGGTTCGTTGCAGACCGGTTTACGCCATACCTGAAGTTGGTCTATCGCCTTTTGGTGCCATCTACCCCAATGGAAAAAACTGAGGCAAAAATGAGGCTCCCACTTCGGGGAACCCAGCGCCAAAGACCGTTGAATCCTTGAGTCGGAGAATGCAACCAGTGCCATGAAATCCAGGACTGGTTGCAACCAGTGGTGAGGGAACCTAGAAAAAGCAAGGTTGATTGGAGGACTTGCTGCTGAGCAGCATGCCCCCATTGTGAAACACTGCAGTTGTGCATAGATGTATGAAGGCCATATGATGAATGCTCTAGCATTGGCAGCAGTGCTATCGGCAGGTCCAGCGCAAGGAGATCCAAGCAGAAAGTCCCATGACCTGAAAGGATGATCAACTCTGATTTCTGAAGTCTGCTGTGTGAGAAACGCGCTTTTGCGGTGGTACCGGCCAAAGTTTAAGATCTAACAATAAGAGCTTCAACGCCTTCTTTGCTGAAACATCTTCCAAAACTGGAAATCTCTCTACGAGGCTGTGAGGGCCCTCAGTAGCTCGTAAGCGAAACATTTTTCCAAGGACGGTACCCCGACCTTCCGGCAATGTTTGCCAGTGTCCTGTCTTTCGCTGATAGTATGTACACATCCAGCACCCATCAGCCTGGCGGGTCGGAAAAACACCGGATGGGCTGAGGGATGGGGCTGAGGGATGGGCTGAGGGACTGAGCGAGTCCAAGAATCCAAGAATAGGAATCTTGATTTATAACACCCCATTTGGATTGCAAACCTCTTCATATGGAGGGGTTTATGAATCAAGATTCTACATTAGTGAGCCCCACATCTCGCAGCATCAGCCCAGACGCGGCAGTCGCCATGGTTCGCATCGCTCATTTGGGGGACAGGTTCTTCCCCATCTCACAATCCAAACAGACTGTGGGCATATGCAAAGTACTCTAGGCCGACAAGAGCGAAACAATCCTGCTTTCACATCTCGCCACATCTCTACACAAATTCCTCACAGAAAATGCAGGCCGAGTAGCTGCAGAATCCATGTTTGATCCCTCCGCCCGCAAAGTCTCATCTCCCAAAGCCTGGATCCGCTACAGCTTCACGTTGATGATGTTCTTCGTGATCGTCACCCCTTTGTGCTGCTCCCCGGCCTATGCATGTGATGCAGCGACGGTGCAGACATCCCACCCAAGACCCCTGGAATGGAACACAGGAGTTGCCACCCAGGCCTGTGCCTCTAGACCCAGCATGTCTATAGTATATAGAATTATATAGAAAACCTCCCACAGTCGACCTTCAACATCAGACCTCCATGCCATCCACAAACGCCTTCGCTGATTGCCCACGCCTTGAGGTGGCCCTGCTTTTGCAGCAAATCCACCGCGGCTTGCTTGATCTGCGCCAGCGCTGGTCGCGGCGCCGTTATTTTGCAACGGCGGCGGTTGGGGTTGCGGAAGGAGCACGAAAGAACACGGGCAGCAGTTGTGTGCGGCTTGGAAGCGGTTTCTCCTCTGTCCATGACTGGAATGAAAGCTGGAACATGTCGAGGCAAAAAGCAAGGTCTCTCCCGCCCTCTGACAAAAACCTCCCACGATACGAGTCCTGATTTCGACCCCCCGGCCCGTCGCACTGGGAACGCGACGGGCCATCCCCAAGAACCCCCGCGGCCACGCCATGATTCATGCAGACGTCCTCAAAACGGCCGTGGCGGCCTCCTTCTCAGAGATGTTCTTCTCCAGATCGATGCTGCCCACTGCCTGGGGCACTCGCAGGACTCGCCGCGTCGGATCGAAGAAGGCGCCGCTCCGTGCGACGAGACGCGAAAGACATGGCCACCCACCAACAGTCAAATCATATGAACAGCTCCCTACCGGTCAGTTTGACCTCAAACTTTCATGACTCGAGTTGATATTTCAACAAAGACTACTCGAACTCAAGGAGGCAAAAGACCCGGTTTTACAGGGTCTTTGGGCACTGTTTGTTGGGGGCATGGATGAACCATGAGATACCATGAGCAACCCGCCGTGAGCTGAAAATTTTAATGCACCCTCTTCCGTGCCCAAGCCTCCACCACCCCGCCGGCCTTGGTGTTCATGCCCCGAAGGATGCTGACGAGATAGGTGTTCTGGGTGGACTGGGCAAGAGAAAAGTCGGTCGCAAGAGAAGTCAGAGATCCCGAAAGAGAACTTCCTAGCAGCATCTGGCAGCTGTAGCAATGCTATAGCAGGAATGTATGATGACGTGCAGTTCATGCTTCACGACATTGGTGGACATTTGTTGCTCCCTGTGCTGGCGACGCAGCGACATCACATCAACTTCTTCCCCATGTGCAGCAAGCAGGGTGCCTTCACTGCTGATTTTGAGCCCTTTTTGGACTTCTTGTCCTGCACGAGTGCGCTTGTAGATAGGTTGCTGCATGAAAATGCCATGCAAAACTTCATCCTCCTGCAAGAACTCATCCCAGTGGTAGATGAGTTGTAGATACACCCCCCTAAACTACACCATCGTAAAGGGGGGCTTTCATCTTGCACAGCCCAGAGCGGCCAGCCAAATACAAGTTGGAAACACCATGTCCCTCTACAAGGTGGCGGGGTGTCCATGAAACCATGTTTGTTGGGAGGACCTATAGTGGATTGAGAGTAGATGGCACAAACCCCAAGAGGTGGTTTATATGGACCCCCGTCTAACGGACATCTTGGGGTCTGTGCCATCTACTCTGAAACCACTGTATCTGGGACGGGACTACCCATGTCTTTCTCCCAAGCTCCTCCATCTTTGATCTCAACCACTCGTTCAGCTCCGCGGCGGCTTCTGTGCTGACGGCACTATAGCCCTAGCGGGGGCGATAAAAAACACCACAGCACTCCAGCAATCCTTCAAAGAAAAAGCTGATCTCAGGCCCCCCAATGTCCGAATGCCATTTTTTGAGGGCCTCCGCCCCAAGGAAGCACCTTTTTCGGTGCACACAAGGGCCACATGAGAACTCGAAAAAGGTGCTGGACAAAAATTTGAAGAGTCTCCAGCTGGGACCCAATTCGGGCCGAGGGGCCTCTTGGAGATGCTCAGCATTGATGCTGGTCCCGGAACCTCTTTCCATTCTAAAGCAACCAATGAGGGCTGACCCAAACCATAGAATTTGTATGATTTTGTTCGATAGGAAAAGTCATTAATACTCATGTTGACAAGGTCTAAAGTCTAAACCTACGGCGCCATGCGATGATATGAAGGATGAGGACCGTCAGAAATGTTCGAGGGTCTGGCCATGCTCCACCATGCTCAAGATCAACCTGCCAATGAACCTCCTTCACTGTACCAGGTGTGACCCACAATCTGGGGACATCAGTAATTGTGGAGTTCCAACATTGGAAAATCGATTCAAAGATGCCAAGAAGGCACAAACTTCACCAGGTTCTCCTTAGTCATCCTTTGAATCAATGCCCTCAGATATACAACCCCCACCTTGTGGAAAAACACAAGGGCTGGGGGCTGCAAAAAACAATTCTTGGGTGTCGGGCATGCCCCGAATGCCTCATGAAATGTATTGAAATACCAGTGACACGGTCACTATAGTTCGGCCCGGATGCACCCAAAACGGTCATCATTCGAGCTCCGCCTTGGCAGCCCAGGCTTTCCCCAAAGCCGAGTTGTCTGGGCTTGGCGGCCTCCAAGAGACTGCCAAGAAGGTCCCTTTTTGGGGGGCTTGGTTGTGCGGCCTCCAGTCGTGAAAATGGGGCACGAAATGCATATATAACATGATACGCGACTTTCCTCCAAACTCTTTCACTCACCAATCCCGAAACCTAGTGTTTTGTCCAACCAAAGATGTGTTGTGACAAGCTGAAAAGACCGGTTTCCCACAATCGGTGCAGGAGAGGAAGTAGTAGAGCCCTTTGACTTCCCAAAATTTTAACTATATAAAGAAGTAGAAGAAGGAACAAAAATGCAAAAACACGAGAACAACAACAAGAACAAGGGTTTCTGATCTCGTGATATGACAACACCACAGTAACACAAGAAAAACGAAGTCATCCATCACACGTTGGACTTAGGGCCAGTTAGGGTGCTTGGGTCTTACCGCAGCGGGTGTTGCGCAATTGCAAATCCGAGGGGAAGCGCAGGCACGGGGGGACAAAAGGCCCGGATACGATGTAATATATACATATAGCGCATATAGAAAGGAGCTTATTGTGTTGTATCATCATGCTGTTGCTGGGCTCATGTTGCCGCACGACTGGCAAATAGGTTTACATCATGTTGCTGATGGGAAACACATGGGATCCTGCCACCTGATCAAATTCCCACCCCACCGCGTTCCCAAACACTGTTTCCAAAGTATTCCAAAGTGAGCTACACACCAGCGAGCCACCACCAGCGCTCTGCGCGTGCCACGCCTTTTTCACGTGCCGAGAGAAACGCCCGCAAGACCCGCGGATCACGCCTCTCCAGCTCCTCCTCGAACCCCCCCGTCGGGCGCTGACGCGCCGGCCTGGCTCGGCGCCGGCCGAGCAATTAAGTAGAAATTGCGTTTTTGAAGGTGGTGATAGGGGAGATGAGTTTTGCAGCTGTTCTTCTTCAGGGGAACCCGTGGCCGGTGCCTTCGAAGGGTCAGTAGGCAGAAGACATCAAAACGATTTGGAAGCGGTGCATGCGTGCCCGCCCCGACCCCGGTCTAGGACCATGAACTTGAGCGTGAGCGGGGCCGGTGTGTTCCTGAGAGGGGCTCCGGTAAGTGCTGGCCGATGTCGGTGTGATGTCGGAATGGCAACTTGAACAACCTAACAAAAAATGTGTGTGTGTGTGTTTTTTTCACTGCTGACCGTCGAGACTTTTCCCGGGAAAAGCGTTGCCCAGGATTTGGCCTGGGGCTTGATCCCCCCTGCTCGCTCCTGGAACGCTGCTGTTGACGCAGTTGGTACGCTGTATGTCATGTAGGTCTGCTGAGTGGGGGCGCTCGTGCGGGACCTATGCATACCAACGCTAATAAATGCGTGAGCAGTGGCAGCGAAAGCACGGGCTCCGGGACCCTTTTGGCCTTGGTGCATGGCCGGCTTGAGCCAACCAGTGCGGTGGTCTTTTTGACCAAGTGGTTCAACCTCTTCTTTGCACTGACCACAACTTCTGTTGGTCAAAAAGTGCTAAAGAAGAAAAACAAATCCTGCCTCTCAGACAGCTTTCGCTGCAATGCCGCCTCCTCCAAGATGCTCCACTTCCCCGTGGCCATCACGTGGCGGAGGTAGTCGCTCTTGGCCTCTTTCGTGGGGCAATCTGACGACACAGTTCACCCATCGACCCAGCGAATTTGGCCTTGAAGGTCTGCAATCTCCTGTTTGATGAGGGAGATGTCTATCGACGCCCTCTTGTCTTCACATTGGGTCGTTGGGTTTGTGTCCTTCTTGACAGCATCATAGAGGCTTGTTGAGTCTGTCACACAGATGAAGGGAATCCGTGCAACTTCTGAGCTGACATCACATGTCCTCGAGCCTCAAGGAGTAGGACCCGGTACCAGTGAACTGATCCAAGTCCACGAACAAGTGCCTGAGTCTCGGAGCTCAAGGTGTTCACTGTCCGGCGTTTCAGGCGGTAGCTTTTCCATGAAGCTAAGGTGACGCTTTGGAGCTCCTGGGACATGGGCAGGTCCTGATCGCAGAAGAAAGTGATCTCTCCCCCTTGACTATACAGCTTCATCAGCCGTTCAAACCCCGAATGGGTCATCTTTGCTTCTAACATCTCCCCCTCCTTCTGCTTGATGACAGTCGTTTTACCTGTCCATGGAGCGGAACTGAGCGTCTTCATACTGGAGGAGCTGTTCCATTCATCATCAATGATGATTGTCTTGCCGCCTTGATGGAGTTCAGACTGTCGATGAGTCTGGAGGTGGTGCGTGGGAGCCGCTTCTGGGTGAAAGGCCGTGAGGCGTGGAACGCGATGATGCCGAATCCATTGAGTGTCAGTTTCCTCCCACCAGTCCTCGGTGTCTTCTTCAAGGCAACGCCCAAACTCCCTTGCATTGCCCCAGGATGCGTCGGTGATGACTCCAGCCCGGAGTCGGTCCAATGGACTGGGCATGACTCGGATTTTCAATGGGGGTTCTTGTAGGAGTTCTTTGGCGACGGAGTTGGCCATGACAATGTCCTTGATCATGGGACGAGGAAAAGCTTGTTGGATGAGCGCGACCTTGCCGGCAATGTCTGCTCGCGTCTTGTTAGCGATTCATGCCATAGTCCCAAGTAGAGCTCGAAGTTGTTCCACTTCTGAGGCGGTGCATGGTGCATATCGACGTCTCTGTCGATCTTTGAGGAGAGAAATCTCTTGGACACGAGCGGTGGTGTAGGACTCCTGGTCAATGCGGATGGAACCATCCTCTACGGGAGTGAAGTTCTTTCCAACAAAGCGACCAGTGCGCCAGGTATACTTGCCCAATGTATACCGCTTGCGAGGGATTTTCATTTTCTCAAGCTGCCGGTCCGATCCTCCATGAAGTAGGTCGTCCGTGGCCAAGGCTATGATTCCATCGATGTCTCCAGGCTTAGAGGAATTCTCTTCGCTGTCAACTAAGAAGAGGCAAGGATCGATAATCGATCGTCGGTATCCCAGGTCCTGAGTGAGGAACTTGGTGATGTGGGAGTACCATGCTGATGGGCCATCCGTCAGTCAACCTGATCAGCTGGCATGGTGACGTTCCTGGGATTCCTTCTGGAGGTTGTGTGCAATATAGCGCACGTCCAATGGCATCTCCAGAGTGGAATGCCTGGGTGAAGTCGGCATACCCAGGTCGCCATTGTTTTGCCGCCAGCACCTGTGTGGTGAACACCACGGAATCTCGGTGTACTTGTGGGGCGCTGGTCTCGAGCTGAAGGAGATCGGGCTCGCTGACGCCTTGCATGACATGGCGATCGTCCGGAGAGGCATCAAGTACCAAGTCTGCTGGCATTCCTTGTTTTTGCTGCTTCGACTCTGGTTCTTCGCCATCAGGTGAGTGTGGAAGATTTTCAGGAGTTCGGGCCGAGACATTTTGCATGGTGGTAGGCTTTCCCACCGGGCCTCGGATGGTTCACTGCCACTCCGCTTTTGTTCTCGTTTGGTTCGTGTAGTCCAGGTTCTGTTGGGTTCAAATTCTCCGACAGGTCCATGGAGGCATCTTAGGCAGTGGAACCTCATAAGGCAGTTGACCTGGTGGTGATGGTTCTTCTTGGTCTGGGAGCACAGCTGGTGATTCTGGAGCCATTGATTCATGGGTTGTATTCGTTGTCGGGAGCAATGGAGTTTTCACCTCTGGACTGGTCCTTGGACTCTTCTGGAAGGGGAGGTTGTCTCTTGGTTTCTGAATGCTCCTCCTTGGTCTTCTGACGAACCCTTCTCGCTGGTGTAGCCTAGTCCCTCTGTGGCACTGTGAATGGCTCGTCTACACCAGTAAGGCGGAACCATGTCTTACCCGTCCATTCATGACCATGCTCGGGATGTCGAACTGTAACTTCATGATGTAGTTTCCATGAGGTCTCAACGGTCTGGACCGACCGATCAGGGAGGATCATTTCCACTCTCATCCAGTCATCAAGGTCTCCAAGCAGTACTGGTGGTTCTTCCAGAATATCATCTTAGGGCCGGAGTAGGGGGAGATTCATGGACACGAAGAAGGTATGGTCCTTGTCGAACCCAATAGTCTCTCTCCTCTGTCTCCTCAGGTGGTCGATCCTGTTCCTTGGAGAGGTCGATCATGCCCTTGATATCCGCAGTCTCGAATTGGCGTTTGGCATTTCCAATGCCATCCAACCAACCACTCATGGAGAGATTTTCTTCTTCGGCTGCAGGTCGTAGTTTCTCTGGAGCTGCTTTCACCAGATGGTGGTTGTGAGAGATCCAGACTGTGGTAGGTAGCTGGACAGCGATGACCCTCGTGTGTGTTGGTTGGTAGTCGAAATGAGGTCGTGGTCCATGAGTTGCCGCTGCTCGAACAGCCTGTTGACATTCAACTTCATGCATTCATGGGAGGCTGCCTTGCGGATGTCCATAGCCTGAGCGACCACGGCGTCCCCAGCAACAATGCGACTTTGCACAGCTAGATCACCACCTCCATCTGACATCAGCCCTCCCGGAATTCTTTGTTGGTACCCGAAGACACGTTGGGCAGGAGAGAAGCCCCCTCTAGTGAGTAATCTGTTCTTTGTGTGGCAAGTGATGTCGATGACCGTACGCGGCACTTCATACTCAGCCAATGAACGATTTGCTGCGCTATGCAAAAACTGTTTCTGCTTGTTTGAAAAATCTTGGAGAAAGACCCTCAATGCTCCCGTAGGCCCCAAATGACATTTTGCTTTTGAAACTGTAACCGCTCTGAAACCAGTGTCAGTCCAGCTTGTTCGTCCAATACCAGTTGGGCTCCGGAGTAAAGCAAAAATGGCAAACTGATCAGGAATGGGGCACTTTTGCAATGACCTTGTTCAAACACCGCAGGTTTGAGAAAACTCCCACGAACACCTAAACTGCTTGGAAGGACAGCCACTCGTTCAGTGATAGATGTTTGATGCACACTGCGGAATTGATGGTTCTCCGGAAAGAAGTGGATTGCCAGTTCACTGGGTAGGTATTGTTGATATTTGACCAGAGCCTCCCATCCAATTGCCATGCGTTGACAACCTGTATCTATAGCATATAGTTGCACACACCTCATCAAAACCTGGTTGGAGGACCGACATGTGGTAACACGGATGGGCGGGCACGCTCGTGTATATGAAGTCAGCCTGCCAAAAAGATCCATGCGGTCGGCTGTCGGGCTCAGGAGAGGCACTAGCTGCCTCAGAGTCCAGGTAGAGAAATCGGGGATCGGCCGCGTTGAGGACACTCTCGACTCTAGTGTCCGGTTTCATTGCAGCGATGACACTTTGTCCGCTTTTTCAATTCTTCAATAGAGACTTTGTAAGTCCCCGGACGAAGCGCTCCGTCACGACCAGCACCGAAGCCGCGGAGCTAAGTCACGATTCTTCTTAGCCTTCATGGCGCCCTGAAAAGTCCGGTTCTTGGGCTTGTCCCGGATCATGGCCATGAGGACTTCCTTCGCCTCGGTCTCCGTGATTTCAGTCATGGGGGCATTCTCAGTCTCATCCTCAGACATCTCCGCCAAGGCGTTCAGAAGGATGTCTGCCCCTTCGTCATCCACCTGATCGTCCTCCAGGTCATAGAGCTCTTCCGTCATGCCGGGATCTTGTCCTGGAGGTTGTGGATCTCAGTGGTGCCTTTCTTCTTTTCATTGCCAAGGGTGGAGAGGTCCAAGTCCGTCTCGTGGGTTCGGAGCCACTTTCACGTCAGCAACCTGCAGGGACCCACGAGTATAGTTCAACAAGAGTTTCGTTTGCTCACTTGATAGCTGCAGGGCATTCACCATCAGGAAGCCGAGGTGGCCTCCGGGGAGTGTGACCCCTTTTTCACGAACCTTACGAACGGCATCATCCCACCGCAGCGTGAAGTTTTTGGCTTGTTCACCTTTTGCGC